GGCACGTGCTGAAGGACAGGATCTCCTCAGGGGATCCAAAACCGGGGTCAGATCGATTTTTAAGCTTCAATGTTGGCTAATGGGAAATCTGGCCTGTCCTTCGGCCACATGAAAGGTGAAGGGGGAACCAACAGTTTGGGAGGTGAAGAACAAGGCCTCCATACATCCCTACTTGGAAGGGTTCCCAAAAAAGGGACCCGGGACCCCAACCCCACCGCCGCCCCAAGAAAAGGTTGGTGCTTGTTGGCCTCCCTTTAGCCGCCAACAAAGAAAAGGGGTAACAAGTTCTAAGAACCATCCATTACTTGCACTGCTTCTAGGTTCTAGGTGCGATCGAAGTGAGAAACAGGGGGTGTTTCCTAACAAGCTGCTACTTGGGGGTGACTTTCATAGTGGCAAATACATGGGGCCAGCAAAGGCAAGCAATACGCTCAGATTCTGTTCCATGTTTAGCCTGCCGCAAGGTGTAGAATATGATTGGAGAAGACCCCAGCGGATTGTTGGCCTTCAATCATATTTCGGTGTCACGGTCTATCACATGCTTTTCCCTACAGTAAAGGGCAAAGGGTTCGCAAAGGGTTCCTTGGGTACAGGGCATCGTTGTTGCTCACCGAATATTCCTGGAGCCGCCGTGACCTTTAAGATGGATCGCAACCCCTGCGAACCTTCTGTTCAACCCAACCCGGTCTTTGACACCCGATTTCTCTCTTGCGTTCTATTGGTCAGAGAGCTGATTGACCAACAGAAGACACAACTAGGTCCTCCAGATTTGAGAGGTTAGAATAAGGGCACCCTTTTCTGTAGTCTCTTTTAGTAGGGGGGTGTCCCTCCCCCCAAAAAAGAAACGGTAAAAGGGCACCTAGCTGAGTGACCTAGACAAGACACACGTGCCTCTCCACTCAGGCGGTTTCATGGAAGGTGTCGTTTGTGAGGAAAAGGATTTTCAAAGGGTTGGCTTGTGGACAAGGGCCAACCCAGGCGCTGCAAATAGGACAGTGGGAACTGACTTCATTGAACCAACAGAACTAACATACTTTTACTCCTTCTCTTCGTTGCACCCCTCAAAAGGTCCCCTCCCCCGCACCCCCTCCCCCCCGCCCCCTTAGTTGAACGGCCGCGAAACACAGGTGGTCTTGTAGGAATCGGGCTTGTCAAGCGGCTTCATGCCTATTCCACCCCTCCTACGTGTCCCCAGTAACTCTGGAGGAAAAAAGGGGAAACATGAGGGTGCCACTGAAAAAGCCGGCAACCCATATGGGCGTATGTCAAAACATTGTGACTTCCAACAGGTGGTTTTCTTGTGTTTACATTTTGCAAATAGAGCCGGATGCGCCAGGGTTGGAAGTCTCAACAGGGGAAAGCTGCCGAAACACCCTGCATTCTGTCCTCCCCGTCCCTCCGTTCGCCCTTGTCGTTGCCGGAAGATTTCAGCAGGAAGTGGGGAAAGGGATCTGCCACAAGCCTTGGACCTGCTGTGGGTCTTTGATCTGATATGTCTTTGCTCTGCTATGTCTCTAGGTCTTTGCTCGGCTATGCAGTTGCTCCGTCGAAACTTCCTTTGGCAACCACCCTACAAAGAGTACCCTCTCAAAAAAGAACCACCCTTATTAGCTGGAACGCGCTCGCCATGCCGCTCCTCCTTTTGGTTCCTCTGCGCAGTGGTCAGCTCAAACACGGACCTCTGCGCCTGCAGTGACTCATCGTTCAGGCGTTGTTCCAGGCGTTGCTGCGCCGAGCCAAAGCTCGCCTGAGATCGGGAACGATGATCAATGATAGAGCCAAGCCCAAACTCTGAGGGTTTTGATATTACACTTTGGGAATACACCCACTGGGCATTGACCCCATTCAGGCACATTTCCGGATAAAACCGTGTTATTTTGAGCCATTCTGGGTCATTTCCCCAGGGTGTAATCCCAGGGTGTAATACCAAAACCCGCAGACAAACGGACTTCTTGTGTGGGATGGCCACAACACATGTAAAACAAACGGGGGGGCTTTGCTTCTTTCAATGCAAATATGTGGCGTGTGTTGGTTTCTACCCAACAACCGGGTGGATTGGGCAAGAAAGTTCAAACCCGCTGGTCTTCCAAAACCATAACAAGGACCTCCAAGAGTGACTCCAAAAGGGGACAGGTGCAGAACGGGACTCAATGTTGCAAGTAAACCAAAGCATGGTAAAGCATTGTTCTACAGGGTTCCCGTGCGGGTCTGACATATGTTCAAGGATCCAAATAGGGACTTGAGGACCCCCCCCAAACCAAAAAAACAAATCAAAAACAGTCCAAACAAACAAGACAGAGAAAAAAAAAACACACACACACACACAAAAACAGACCAACAAAATCAACCAAACAAAAAACACACAACAACTAGATCCGAAGAACAGTTCTAAAAAATCAGGCGACTCGGCGCCTTCAGGGCCTCCAGATCTTCACAGATCTGCTGTTGGCGCTCGAGGCTTCGGAGATCTTCGGCCTGCGGAGTCGACTCCGCCCATCGGCTCGGCTTCGCAGCTTCCCGCGGCCTCTTCCGAACATTCTGGGCCTTTCGAGCGGAAGGGAGCTGTTGCAAATCTGGGGGGAGGCGAAATCAAAGTACGGTGGATGGTGGCGAAATCCATCAAAAGCACCACCGTTCAGAAACCCTAGAAGGATGATTCCCCTGCAAATACCAACAAACAACGGCTTCCAATGGTTTCAAAGTGGTGCAGGAGTTCGTCCATCCACAGTATCACTCTAGGGGTTGATTGATTCCAACATCATTCTGTTTGCTGGTTCAGTGGAACTCAGGAAGTGAGTGTAAGATGATTCCTTGTCCATTCTGTTCAACCATCTTTCCAAAAACCGGATTCTAGAAAGAAGGATCCCTGGAAAGAATGGGGAAGGTACCGCTGGACAAATGGCGAAATCTCAAAAAACATGGCTGTGGAATCTCAAGAAACCCGCAGAGTTGAAGGGGCGTGGGATGTTTAAAGGTACAGCTGAATTTAGATTAATATCGCAGTAACAACTGGGTCTGAACGAAAAAGTGTGTCTTTGGAAGCTTAACATCTCCTCCGCGGAAGGTCCACTTGTTCTTAACGATGGAGTCGCTAGCCACTACTTCTGCAGGGCTCCCCTTAAATGGAACCTATGAACATCCACAAACCCTACTGCAATGCTTGCTGTATCTTACATAAGGGGATCAAGCTAGCCCCGTTTCAAGAACCGTCCCAAAAGAGTTCCCACGCAACTGCCTTGCCCTCAAGTCTAGGCTCTTTTCAACAGTCCCTATTCAGCCACTGGCTTTTCAGGGGCACCTTGCCCCAAACAATGCTCAACCTACCTGGTGATGATTGCCTACCCGTTGAATTGAATCATTTGGGTTCCAGCTGTGTCTGTCTGAACTACAAGAATGGTCGGCCATGTGTGTGATTGGAAGACTCCCTGGTTGGAAGACTCCCTGGTTGGAAGACTCCCTGGAAAGCATGTCTGTCTGGCTGAACTACAAGCTGGAAACAAATGTGTCGGCCAGTTTTGAGTGAGGTTGATGCGGGCGCGATTTTTGAAAAGGACATATCGCAACCCTTTGGCAGGGATTGTACTTTGTTGTTGGGGTATAAAACAAATGACCAGTTTAAAGGGGCAACCGTGTCTGCTTGATGTCCTGGATAATTTGGAGACATCTGATTATCAACACCCAAGGCACAGAGGCCGAGGAAAGGATGAATCACTTTTGTGTGGTCTAGTTCCGCACTCGAAACCATCAAAGTATTTCAGGGGCCCGGTAGACCACTACTTAACACGTGCCTGCTTATCAGATTGCCGCTGCTTCAGCTCTTTCATGATTTCGGAGATCCGGGCGTCGGCAGACTGGAGGGTGCTCAGACCTGGACTGCAGCTGGTGTCGGGGGTCGCAAACATGTGGTTTTGGGTCAAAATTAGGTACCCAACACAGCTTGCCCTGGTCAGGTCAATGGAACCAAGGATTAAAACCTGCGGGCCCCTGGTGGTCAACTCCAGAGACCTACTGTCAATGGACAGAATTCTGCCCTTTGAATCCAACAAGGTTGGATCCATCCTTGGATCCATAAGCCAAAAAGTATCGAACAAAACAGGTTTGTGGTAGGGAAACAGGTCAGGGGAATCATCAAAAACCAGAGGTTTCGCAACCATCCACAGTATGAGCCGTTCAAATAAAATTGATCCCCCTACCTTAAGGGGGGTGGGCGGTCCCCCAATTCCATTGTCTTGTTCTAGACGGGAATGGAACCACAACTGGAATTCCAGGGGTCACCCGCCTCCGCTAAATTCATGTTTAAGGGGGTGGGAATGCATTGAGATTGGATGGACGGCACGTGAAATGAGGACCGATCCTTTTGATACCGGACCGAACCAATGCCTTTAAGCAGTCCACGCACATCACATCTACCTCGGCATATGCTCCGCTTAAAATGACACGTTTAGATTATGGACCATATTTTCTATTCGTGAACCAAGTGATGTAAGTCACAAGGGGTCCCATTGTTGACGCATTGCCCTATTTTTCCTCCGTGGCCCCTTGGGCCAAACCCCATTTGTCGGTTAGCAGGGGTTGCACAAACGCTCCCCCTGTTTTCGGAGATCTTCAAGATTTCACAGGCGAAAGCTTTATTTAGTCACATAGTCATGCTTGAACCATGGTTTACGCTGCAAAGGGCGTGGGCGTGGCAAAAGGCAGCCCAAGGCTCAAGCCGGTTGTCCCGGAAGGCTGTATGTTGCTGCGGTTCTAGGCTCGGACCTCACATGTTGACATGCACCTGGCCTACGTCAAAAGCTGAAGCCGCGAAACCTGACAGGCACTCGGGGGCGTCTTTTTTGTTTTGCTGATTCCCCCCTTTTTGCGTGAATTGTCGAAGGGAAACCTGAAGAAAACCAGCCAATCTTCGGGGTTCCAGATTTCATTTGAGACAGAGCTTCTCAGAAATTGGCCATGGCCAGTTGCCACGAGCCCGTCAACTTCAGCCCAACAACTTTTTCCTGTCGCCAGCGACCCATTTGAAATGATACTGTCAGGTTACCCACTTCCCGTGTTCGGATAGGCCAAGCAAAACGTCCAAACGAGTCCAAACTGTTTGCCACTAAAATGGTCCAACCCCACAAAGTTTGAAGTCCAGGAACTCAGCTGAGGTGATGTTGTTAAGGTCCGTCGCCTCGAAAACAAAGAACTCAAAAACCCTTAAGACAAAACACACATGCGAACACACATGGGGGCTGGGGGGGAGGGAGTGGAGGGGGAGGGAGCCCAAACAAGCCCGTATAAAGCCCTTAATAAGGCCTTATTTGAGGCTTGTTTGGGCTCCCTCTCCCCTCCCCCAGCCCCCATGATCTACGCTCACCAAAATCATAAAGTACTCCAAAGGACTGCATCTGTTTTGACTGTGTGTGGCGTTCTGGGCTTCCTCTTTTTGGTTGGGTGCGGGGGGTGGGGGGGCTCAAACTCATTGTCACCCAAGGCCCCCCCCAAAAAATAAAATCATAATAAACATAAAACGGATTCATTTGTACAGAAGTCCTTTTCATTGAACACAATCGATCTATCTAACAAATTTCCAGGGACCCATGCTGTTTGGGCTCCGTGTGTTGATTTGCGGGTGGGGGACTCCTCCGAAAATGGGTTTGATGGTAAGCGCGCCTGTCTGCAGGTCTGCGTCGTTGGCGCTGGCGCGCTCCTCGAGCTGCGAAGTCTTCTGGAGGCAGGTCTCGATGTTCTCGGAGTTCCTAGAAAGGGACTCCCACGAAGCCCTCCCATAATTCTTTTCAAAACCGGCCGTTTTTCCAGGGCTGTTGGTGGTTTCTAGAAAGAAGGATCCGTGGAAAAAATGGGGGAGCTAGTCCTAGAAGTGTTCCCATGGGGCTGCCAACCTGCCTCAGGTTTTGGGCCAGGTTGGCAGCTAGAGGGTGGTGAGTGGTTTGGATGGTTTTTGGAACGGGTACCTGTCTTGATTTGAGGGAACAAGGTATTGACAGCTTCTTGGTCGGCGTTGTATGGGGAGCAAAAACATGAATTTCAGCAGTTCAGTGGGTGGATTTCAACCACTAAGCCACAGTAAGCGGAAAGGTAAGATGTTTCCCAACAACAACCATGCAACAAACATAGAACCGGGGACCCGCTTTTTCCCACCACAAAGCGGTTTCTCGGACCCATAAACCAAAAGGCAAAAAACGGAGGTCGAAGAAAACCGGCGTGTGGTTGGAAAAAGCCAGGTGCCAAATGGAACCTGAAAGCGGGAGGCCAACGGTCCCAACCAAAGGATCCCTTTCAGGTGCCATTTTTTTTGCTTGGAGGGCATGCGTCTTTGTTCTCGCAGTCTGAGCCTTTGCCGCCCAAAAAGCGACGTCAGAGTCCCCAACCTCCCCACCCAAGCCCACCCTCTTCCCCGAGCCTTCCGAGACCCCGAGCCTTCCCCAAGCCTTCCGAGAATCGGCCCTGGTTCTTGTTGTTGACTTTGGGGCCCAGCCCCCCTTTCTTTAAACAAGATGAAAAAAGGGACTGGGGGTTTCTAGTGGCTTTTCATAACAACCCACTACTCACTTCCTGAGTTGAGCCAACAAAAGACCAAACTTTGCCACTAAAATGGCCCAAATCCAAAAAGTTTAAAGTCCATCAACTCAAGAAGTGAGAACAAAAAACCCACTGGTCACCCTCCTTTGCTTAAGTCCCCGGAAACAAACAATATTTTCCCAGTAGTGATAGTTTCAATTAAAAACCAACAGGGGAAACAAACACATATTCTTAACCCAATGGAAGACTATACGCTCACCAAAATCAGACTGTGGGGTTCTGGGCTTCCTCTGCTTTTTGAGCCCCGGGTTTCGGGGGGGGGGGAGGGGCACTCGTCATCAGGTCGAGTCTCCTGGCGAGGCTACGCTCGAGGTTCTCCAGGCGCAAGCGCCACTTCCGCTCCTCCGCCACGGCGCGGGCCTGATTGGCGCATGGGAGGGGCTGGAGGGCCCTTCATGTGGAGGGCGAAATCCGCTTCTCGCAGCACCTCAGAAACCTCTGCTTTTTGATGATTCCAGGGCTTAAATACCAGCAAAAAAATGCATCCCATGGTTTCAAAGTGGTGGATGGACGTAATCCTGCACCACTTTGAAACCATGGGAAACCAATGTGCGTGGGTATTTGCAGGGGAATCATCATTCTAGGGTTTCTTAGGTGGTGCAGGAATTAGGCTGGAATTAGGACCCCAGCAAAAACATGTTTGTTTTCGCCTGGTTCGTGGAAAACAAAGGACCCAAAAAAAGCAAGCAAAACACAAAAAGGGGAGCTATTTCTGGGGAAGGACGCTGCTCAAAACTGATTCGCGGAATTCGCACTTTGCGGTGGGTGGGGTGTGGTGTGGTGTAGTGACGTGGGTGTGGTGGGTTGGGGTGTGGTGCACACAAAGGGTGATTGTGCACAACCATGGAGTTGAGGGCCGGGGTGGGGGGGAGGCAAAGTTGCATAAATAATCGGGGCCCATCACTTAAACCAAAGTTTGCCTGCAAATGAAGACGGAACCCACGCAAAGGCTTGCGTGACCCTTGAGTAACCCTTCCCTGGGCCCATCCCTTGGACTTGGAGGGGTTCAAATCACCCAAAAGTTTCTTTGCAGGGACGCCTTGGTGGGAGTATTGGGCTGCATCCAGTTCACAAACTTTTTACATTCCGGGGTTACAAACTCACCCAAGCTTGAGAGGATACGCTCCTCAATCCGATGCTTTGCTCACTTGCCCAAAGCTGAGGTGTTGACCTTTCGGCGTTCCAAAATTCGTGGCCCCAAAAGCTTGGTGGCTCCCAGCCATCCCTCAGCTTTTTAGCCTTTTAGTGTTCAGTGGTAGTTTCCATTTAACCCACGAAAGGTTAAACTTTCAGCAGAGGATCTGAGGGCAGCCCAGAAAGGTGATGGCCTTTGATTTCCAGTTTACCTTGGTGTGCCTCCCAGCCCTCGAGGTCCGAGTCGGGATGTATCCTTCACGAGTCTGGGCTCATGTTTCTGAATCAGCGCCTCAGGGGTTCCTCATTTTCTTGGACGGCGTCAAAAAAAAAGATCGGCCTAGCAACAGGAAATCCGGAAGACTTTTTAGCGCGGCGGCTTTTTTTTGTGGGTTCCATGTGAATTGTGGCGTTTCACTGGGACTCGAGTAATTCGCTGCTCTTGATAGATATTGCCTATTGCACACTGGCTTATAGGCTTGCCATGTTAGTTTGTGGGTGCATGGTACTCTTTCTACAGTAGGCTCACAGTGCACCAGGAGCTCTCTTTTTTTTTGGCAGGGCACCACCACCTGAAACCGTGAAACCAAAGCCTGCGAAGCACTCTCAAAATGATTGCGGCATACCCCAGACACCCAGTGGTGGCGTTGCTCATCCCTTGCTCATGCTGTTGAGGGGTTGAAAAAACACACTTCCCAAAAAGAGACTGCTTTTTTTGCCGCATGGCGACTGGGATCTGGGTTGCAACCACATGCAAATGATGCAACTCGTACCGACACCCCAAAGGGAAGCTCTCATCAGAATCTTCCTTTCCAACTGGTCATTTGTACCAAAACAGGACATCTACTTTCACCCCACCAAACACTGGGGGCCTTGAGTCACGTCGGGTCGCATATGCTTCCTCCAAAAAAACAGGGGTTACCTCTTATGGGACGCATGTGAGTCAACAGGGGTGTAGTACTGCGAGCGGTGAAAAAGAAACCAGCAAACCTCCGAGGGCGCAAAGACTCATAGGTTTGTGATCCTATGGTTTCTCAAAGTCCTGGTCCATTTCCTTTAGGTTGCCCCCTACAACCACACACACACACACCACACCACAACCCACCCACACCCGGCCCACACCCCACCGCACCACCACACCACCACACCACCACAACTGAATCAATGTGGATCACTTCAAAGGGGGTGCCTTGGTATCACATGGCACACTATCTCGCTTCCCTAGTTCATGAGCCAAAACAATGTCTTTGTTTGCCAATGGCCTGGTCCAAAAGTCGTCTCAAGTCCAGGAAATCGGGCTCCATGGCTTTCAACTCCTGACTCATTTGGCTGTGGCTCTACCCAAAACGGTACCCAACATGGCACAAAGACTAAAACTCTGCGTAAACCTAGGTCTTTCAGTTCGAGTCACCCATGTTCCGGGCTGTCCTCAGATCCCCTGTTAACAGCTTAACGTTTAGTTGGTTAAATGGACACCCAACCGCTAAACCCTAAAAAGCTAAAAAAGCTAAAACGCAAAAAAGCAAAGGGACCTGTCTGGCAGCCACCAAGTTTCCCAACCCTTATGGTCCACCTGGCGAGTGCTCCACCGCTCAACCGGGCCTCGGCCACGCGGTCAGAGGAGGTGGCGCCCCGCTCAGGATGCGAGGACTCCTCTAACCTGAGGTGTCTCGTGTTTTGGCACACAAAACGTGGGGAACCCATTTTGTGGGGGTTGTTGGGGCGTTGTTGGGGGGTTGTTGGGGGTTGTTGGGGGCGTTGTTGGGGTTGTTGGGCGTTGTTGAGGGGTTGTTGGGGCGTTGTTTGTTGTTGGGGCGTTGTTGGGGGCGTTGTTGGGGGGGTTGTTGGGAGGTTGTTGGGGGTTGTCGGGGGTTGTTGAGGGGTTGTTGGGGGTTGTTGGGGGGTTGTTGGGGCGTTGTTGGCTGTTGGGGCGTTGTTGGGGGCGTTGTTTCTTGTTGGGGCGTTGTTTCTTGTTGGGGCGTTGTTGGCTGTTGGGGCGTTGTTTGGGGGTTGTTGGGGGTTGTTGGGAGGTTGTTGGGGGTTGTTGGGGGTTGTTGAGGCATGGTTGGGGCGTTGTTGGGGGGTTGTTGGGGGTTGTTGGGGGCGTTGTTGGGGTTGTTGGGCGTTGTTGAGGGGTTGTTGGGGCGTTGTTTGTTGTTGAGGCGTTGTTGGGGGCGTTGTTGGGTGGGTTGTTGGGAGGTTGTTGGGGGTTGTCGCGGGTTGTTGAGGGGTTGTTGGGGGTTGTTGGGGGGTTGTTGGGGCGTTGTTGGGGCGTTGTTTCTTGTTGGGGCGTTGTTGGGGGGGGTTGTTGGGGGGTTGTTGGGGGGTGGTTGGGGGTTGTTGGGAGGTTGTTGGGGGTTGTTGGGGGTTGTTGAGGCATGGTTGGGGCGTTGTTGGGGGGTTGTTGGAGGTTGTTGGGGGTTGTTGGGGGCGTTGTTGGGGTTGTTGGGCGTTGTTGAGGGGTTGTTGGGGCGTTCTTGGGGGCGTTGTTGGGGGGGTTGTTGGGAGGTTGTTGGGGTTGTTGAGGGGTTGTTGGGGGTTGTTGGGGCGTTGTTGGGGCGTTGTTGGGGCGTTGTTGGGGGGTTGTTGCGGGGTTGGGCTGGATGGGGGGTAGGTTTTGCTCGCGATTTCCGGTCGAGGTCACGCCTCTTCAAGAGCCGCGAGTGCTCCTGGAGCTCCTTCCGCATCTTCTCGGGACCCTCCTGTCGCGTGAGACGTGGGGCAAAGAAATCGGGGGTTTGATGTCTGGCTGCCACACGCGGGGTTGGGATGAAATACGTAGAACATACACCCCACAGACATTTCCTTTGAAACCAACAGGGCAACATAAACAAAATATAATATTCTTAAGCAAATGAAAGTCACCCTTGGGCTATGGGCAGTTTAGTATCCAGATGGTTCAAAGACAGTGGACATCAGCCCGGTTTGATCGGTGTTTCACACCCCCCTTTTGCAAAAAGAAAGAACAAAACAGGGGAACCGAACCTGTTTCACCTGGCGTTTTGAAGGCTTCGGCTGCGGATCGCAGTCACATGCTGCCTGAAACTAGGACACCGCATTAGCAACCTCTCGCAATGTTGCTGTTGCCTGACCCTCGCAGAAAGATGCTAGATATCAGGCAACTCCATGAAGCCAAACAAGATGCTAGCAACGCAGTCTGGCTTTGGAAACGAGTACCTAGGTCTAAATGAAGCTGCCAAAGCTGCAATGGAAGCCCGGGTTTCGATAGACCACAATCCTAAACGGAGATCGAAGGGAGTCAGTCAAAAAACCACCTGGCTGTGGAAGAAGCACCGGGGTCCTCCAATTCTGCGGCTTTTAACGATTGATTGACACCTTTTACTGTGGATGGACGAAATCCACTTCGCACCACCTAAGAAACCCTGGAATGTTGATTCCCCTGTAAATACCAACAAACAAAGGTGTCTCATGGTTGCTTAGGTGATGCGAAATGGATTTTGTCCATCCACAGTATGGACCCAGTAACAAACGCAAGTTGGTCAGCTTGAAGTTCGAACGATCAAAGCAAGACATACAGTGGCAGTCCTCGCTTTTGCCTTGGGGTCCTTGTAGCTCGTTTGCCCAAAGGGGTCATCAACCCTAGGGCACATCGAGATTGCTTGGCAAGTATTCAGATCCTGCTTCATATTTCGAGAGCCTTGGCAAGTGACCAAAAAGAGGCCGACCTTGGAACCAAGGCGAGCAAGGGGCCTTCAGGAGTGGACTTGCTCGCAGTTCCAGTTCGCTCACGTTCAAGGCGCCTTACATAGGACTTCCCCTTCCCTCCAGTTGCCGGAAAATGAAGCAACGCTGTGGGACGGACGAACTCCGTTCGCACCACTTTGGAAATCATGATTGAAACCCTTCGGTATTTACATCGGCGAATCAAATCCCCGTTGGGTTGCCGAACGGTGGTGCCTACCCGCCGAATCAGCCGGCAAACCATCCCTCCCAAATGTCAGAAAACCTAAATCTCACCGAAAAACCCTGAGCAACAAAGCGGCCGATGAAGCCATCCACTTTCACCTTCGCCGCGCGAAGGAAAACGGGGCCCGGGGCGCCTGCAGCTTCTCAAGGCTCTGCTTCAGCTCCTGCAGCTCCTTCCGCACTTCCGCCTTCCGGAGCCGGGGGTCGGGGTTCACCGCTGGTTCTGTGCAAGAACAAGTCCAGGAACTTGCTGGCCACTTCAATGGCCTTCCATGCCTTCCCAAAGTCCTGGAACTCGGTATGTGAGTTTGGCCCATTCCTCTGGGAGAACCTTTTTGGTCCAAACCCCAACCCATGCTCCAACTAGATCCATTGGGCCATTTTGAACAACTGGACCTCCATCTGGCAATCCAAACGAACGTGTGAGAGTCTGGATAACATGTACGGATCCGTGCGGTCTCCTGAAAATATTTGCTTATAACCTCAAATGAGGGTGGGGGTCCCCGAACTCATATCAGCCTAACCAGCGTCCCTCGAGCAAGAAGGGACATGGACTAAATGGAATTCCAGACACGCACCCTTGCTGCCCAGTTCATCCCACCGTATCTAACATGACCCGCATTTGAGAGTTCCACGCCTCTATTGAACTGGGTATAAACCAGAACGCCTGCACTCAAACATGGAAATTCGCCAGGCCCCTTTTTCTTTCTTTCCCACAAAGGCGACGAAAAGGTGACGGGCAACTTTCGCGCTTCGTCGCATTCTCGTGCCACGCCTCCCGCGCGCTGGACTGGTCCTCCGCTTGCTGGACTTGAAGGGCCCGAGTTTTCCCCCCCTCACAGAAGGCGTCCGACACTTTTCTTGGGACCCTGGACCTTGGTTGACGTTGGAGGGGAGCATGTTTTTTTTTTTTTTTTTTTTTTTTTTTTAAATTAAAAAATTAAGTTCAGTGGTTGGATTTCCACCACTAAACCAAATGAAGCAAAACGGTGAACTGTTTCCCAAGAACTATGACAAAGTGGCCTTACAAAGGTCTGACAGAAGGGACACATTGGAGTGACGCCCTCTGAGCTTCGGTTGGCCAAGCTTTGACTTTGACGGCAAATTCAAGTTGTATGAACTTACTGCTGGGCAACCCCTGCTTGGTGAGGTTTCTGGGCAGGCCCCTGCCTGTGATGGGCCACATGTTCTCTCCTGGAGTGGAACATGGGAAGCTTGTGTATGACTTCTTGTGGGGTTTGACTTGTTGATGAGCTGAACGTAGGGTTCAACTGCATAGTGTTATTTGTGTGTTCTTCTGGGGGGGGGGTAACAATTCCTGGGCAGCTCCGATCTGCGACAAAGTGACAACTCCAGAGTGGGGTGCGAGGCACGGTGATCTTGCTGCACTGGATGTTGTGAAGGTCCCTGTTCCTACACCATTCTTTCACGAGCGCTTCACTGGAGTTGGTTTACACACCAACCTTCTCGTATCTATGTATGTTTAAGGAGCCCTGTATAGGAGCCCTGTACAGGTCTTTTAAGGAGCCCTGTATAGGTCTTGCTGCGTGTGTTGTTTTACGCCCAGCCCCGTCCCCTCAGAGCTTTTTGGGACGCCGGATTCGCCAGGGACATTTAGCTGTGGGTCAAAAATAGGATCCCTATATAAATGAAGCCCTGGCAAATGGCACCAAGGACTAAAACCTGCGGTCCAATTCCTGGTGGTTTAATTTTGACCCGTACCCATTTGGGACCCTGACTAGGATAGACCAAAAGGTCAAAACGTCGGCTTGAGGCAAATAAGGCTGTGGGTCAAAAATAGCGGCCCGCAATGGAACCCTGGTAAATGGAAAAGTAGACCAAAACCTGCGTAACCCTAGGTCTTGAATTTTGAGCCACACCCATAAGACTATAATTCTCCATCGAAGGTAAAGGCCCCTTGGCAACGAAGTGTGGCAAACTACCGCATTTTCCGACCCACTCCACCTGACAGTCGCATTGAGTGCAGGCCTGGTTGATTGTTGTCGCAACTCGAAAAATCAAAAATGAGGCAAACGATCAACATGTTTCATTGGGAAACTGCGTGCTGGAAAAATAGATGGCCCTGGTAAATGCAACAAAACCCATCTAAACCAGTGCCATCTACTTTTAACCAGTCTCACCTAAATAGGACACCTACGCCCATCCCTTTTTGGTTTCCCTTTGGGCAAAGTAAAGCAATCGTCGCTATTCAGCACCCAACCCACAGCCTCCTGCAAGGCTGCCCTAGCGTCCTGATGCGCGAGTCACGTCCGCGGAGATGGATGAGGCCGAAATTGGGATGGATTGACGGGGAATCGGTCGGACACCAACCACCAAAAGCGCGTCCCTCTCTTTATCTTGCTGGTTCTCAGCAGGGAATGAGGGGGCCTTCCCCTGAGGGAAATCCCCTTCCGGTTCAATCCCACAACCCGACAAGTAGCGGCTTGACACATAGCATGTACCTGTGAAGCCATGTGTGTCTTGTTTTGGTCTTCGAGCAACAAAAACTGTGTTTTCATGAAATGGCATTTTTTCAAAACAATAACATTTTCAGAGTTTCGTGGGTAAAGTGCATCCTTGGACAGCCAAACAAGGGCAGGAAAACGCGGAAAGGCGGAACACATGGGCTGGGCTAGCTCTCAGAGTTTCAGCGCTCGTTTCCGATTGCTCAGCTCGCTGGGTGCAGGGCTGAAGTGAGAACGTTGCAGGGCTCCAGCCACCAAAGGATAAAAGCAAAAACACACACTTTGAAAGCTTCACAGCTTGGTTTAGGATTAGTCAGTTTTATCACTTCATAGGTGCTGACAAGGCCAAGTGTTAATTGATTTATATAAGGAATATCAAACTAGGCTTTGCCTGGCAAGTGTTTCCCAACCCCCCCCCCCCCCACAGTCATCCAGGCAAAGAAGCAGGTCACCCTATGCAATCCCTAGCAAGTCCTCTGAGCTGAATGGCCGACATGCATGATACTGTAGATGGACGAACTCCTGCCCCACTTTCAAACTTTGGGAAACCATAGTTTTTTGATATTCACAGGGGGAATCCACAGTAGTGGTATAGAGATGTGGGCTCTGTGTCCCCCTGCCATGTGGCGGAACATATCTACCATTGCCGTTTCAAGAGGAACCTCCCTGTCAGGTTCTATGTGGGTCCCTAAATGGCCCCCAAAGTCGGTTGGCTTTTCGTGGATTCCAATTTAAACCACCCTAGATCGGGCGCCCTCAAAAGGACACACTCATATCGCCCAGAAAAACACCCAACCATTCATCTGGGTCTCTGTGGGAATTCCTTTCTAGGGAGTCTGTGGCCTCATTGAACCTGCTTGCTGTAGTGTGTGTGTGTTCCTCACCAAAACAAACATGTTTGAGACTGGTCCTTTTTGGCATTCTCCCTGAACATGTTGAACCATCTCCACCTGAAACTTACATGCCAGGTTGTACAGATGTTGCATGGGGGCCGTCGGCGCACATACATGGCTAGTAGGTGGGGTATGCTGATTGGGGATATGTATATTAAACTGTCTTGGTTTCAGGGTATCAAATTGTGACACCCACATATATATATATATATACATACACAAACATACGTATGTATATATACATCGATGTGTACTTATACGCAATACATATACATATACACACACACACATGTGACTCTTGGGTCGACAGCTCGGCTCCTCCTTGAAGCTGTTCCGTGCAAAGGCGATCTCCTAGCAGGAGACCCGATCCGGTCTCCGTGCTCCCCTTCTAAATGGTTTCCCCGTGCCTAAAACGTATGGGTGTGGCTCAAACTATTTTCGCAGGAGGGGTTACTGTCAGGTTTCGGTCCATGTTTTCCACGTACCAGGGCAAGCCATTTCGGGTACCGGTTTTTTGAGCCACAGCCCTATACCAGCATAAGTGAGGGAGAACCCGCTGGCTCGCGAGTAGACCCGTGTCATCCCTGAATCACAACTGATGAACATGACCGTTGCTCACACGACTCTATGCGACATGATTGAAGCCAAGCACTGCTACGCCAAAACAATACGTGCACACATTCAAACAAAAACACACATATGTTCATACATAACCGTTGCTGTGTCACATGTTGAACCTAAAGACCGCACTTGCCACCAAACTAACACGGACAAACAAACAGGCAAACACCGACGCTGCTTGAGTGAAACACTTCGCAACCCGGGGGGGGGGGGGGGGAAGGGGGGGGGGCTGGACAAACAAGCCAAACAGCAGGATCTACCGAAAAAGAATCGGCCAAGTGGCAGCTGTCAAAGGGCTTGCCTTTTGACCCCTCTGGACTGAAAACAACAGAGCCGCCCCCGACGTTCCAATGGAGCCAAACAGTATGCAAAACACCTAACACACATGCCAAATGAGGCCACGGTTTTTAATATTCGAGGGCGAATTCTCCAGTGAAGAACTGGTGAAACACCTCCAGGACATGCCGATTTGCCGGGTTTGTCACCCGTTGATTCTGCCGTTCAGGATGTTTGGGAAGCTTGGACATGGGAATCCTATAGATGGGTGCAGAAAAAACAACAACATTTCTTTTTCATGGTTCACCCACCCACCCCGAATCGTTTCTAGGTTAGCTCCCAACACGCCTAAAGCACTCCCCACATGGAACCCAACAAGCGTCTAACCCAAAAAAAGGCTCCTCTAAACACCGCTGTTTCTTGGTGGGCTCGCTTTCGTTTGCTGAAGTTCTCCGGAACCAATCAGAGCATATAATTTCCAGTGATAGATTTGATTGAAACCCAGAAGGGGGTTGAAAAACAAGTATTCGCATGGGGGGTTGCGAAATCCATTTCGCTTCACCCTTCAGAAGCCCTGGTGATTGATTCGATTCCCCAACGTAAATACTGGCAGGTCCGTTCTGGTTTCATTCCCATGGTTTCTGTCACCGTGGTGAAATCATTGCCAGATTTCGCAACCTTCCGTTCAGTATGGGACCCTCAAGCCTGATTGGTTTTCAGGTTGCCCTGGAAGCACTTCCTTCAATTCATCAATGGATTCAGCTTGCACAGCCTACCTTTATTTATTGTCTTTTGGGGAAACCAAAGGAAAACCGCCATTTTGGTTGGGGGCAACCATCCACAACAGGGGACGCCTAAGCCTGGTTGGATTTCATCCTTGAAGAAGTGATGCTTTCCCTTGACACCAACTGCGAAAAAATATTCCCATGGGGCTTCTTCTTGGTTGACATTGAAAGGGGAGCAACAATTTAAATCTTAGCAGCTAAGTGGGGACCTCCCACTAAACCACAATAAGCAAACATGTAAAAACTGTTTCCCAACAACAACCACGTCTTCCCCAACAAACCTCCTTCGAAGGTTTCTCGGGCCGAAAAGCAGCCCCGAAGCCCCCGCGCAAAGGCGGCTTTAGCCGCGGCGCCTGAGAGACCCAGGTCCGCATCTCATCCATGGCGGCGTTCACCAAGGCCTCCATGTCCACCTGAACAGCGAGCCGAGCCGAGCCGAGCGAGCCGAGCGATCCGAGCGAGCCGAGCAATCCGAGCTCCGAAAGGTTTTGTTGAGATTGCAATGTGAGAACCCAACAAGGAGACTCAAATATATGAAATATATATATGCTATCCCCCCCCAAAGATCGACCATTTTCTATGTTTTGAGAAAGATGCGGCGCATTATTGCAAGAAACAGATGTGCATATGCCGGGGCCGACATTCAAGTGCAGTGTTGTTGAGGACGGTTGCAAAATTGCGCACCTGCCAGGGCTGCAACACTGCAAGGCTTTGCAAAACTGCAGCCCCTGGCAACCTGAAGTTTCAAAACTTCAAGAGTTTCCAAGACACTGCCCAAGCAAAGCCGCCAAACTACAGACCTGGCAAAGCAAGTCTGCTAAACTGCAGGCACTGCAGGCCTTGGTTGCAAAACAGACTTGGCAGTGCTTCAGCTCCAACACTGCAAGGCTTTGCAAAACTGCAACCCCTACCAACCTGCCAAAGCACTGCCCAAGCAAAGGTGCCAAACTACAGACCTGGCAAGGTTGCAAAATTGCAAGCCTGCAAGGTTCCAACACTGCAGGGCCAGCTCCAACACTGCAAGACTTTCCAAGCAAGTCTGCTAAACTGCAGGGCCCTGGCAAGGTTGCAAAATTGCCAACCTGCAAGGGCTCCAACACTGCAGGGTTGCAAAACTACAGCCCTTGCCAACCTTGCCAACCTGCCAAAGTTTCAACACTGCAGGCTTCCCACTTGCTGCAAGGTCTGCCAAACTACAAATAAGGCTGCAAAATCCAAACTGCAAGGCTCCAACACTGCAGGCACACCCAACTGCAAGGCTTTTCAAGCCTGCCAAGCAGGCTGCTAAACTGCAGAGCAAGGTTGCAAACTACAACCTCTTGCTAACTCAACACTGCAAGACTTCCCAAGCAAGGCTGCCAATCTACAGACCTGGAGGTTGCAAAATTGCCAATCCAATCTGCAACCAACTGCACCAACACTGAACTACAGACAAGCGAGTTGAAATAGAAGTTCCAACACAGGCCTGTTTGCAAAACAAACTTGGGAGCTCTGTCTGCCAAAGCTCCCACACTGCAAGGAAGGCTTGAAACTTGGTTGCTGGCCCAGCGCAACATTCCACAATTTCCAGCAAGGCTGCCAATCTGCAGGGCAAGGCTGCAAAAAACTGCAACCTGCCAACCTGCCAAGTTTCAATACCCTGGCAAGGGTTCTTGCCACCTGCTACAAGACTTCCACCACCAAACTGGCACTTCCAGCACACTGCCCAAGCAAGCTGCCAAACTGGGTTCCAGCTCAAAACTGCAACCCACTTGGCAAGAGTTGAACACTAAGGCCACTGCAAGACTTGAGCGCCTCACCTGCCAAAGTTTCAACACTGCAGGCTTCCCTGCTGCCCTGGCAAGGCTGCCAAACTACAGGCAAGCAAGGCATTTCCAACAAGAGTTCCAACACTGCAGGCCTTGGTTGCAATACAGACTTGGCAGGGCTGCAAAACTGCAGCTCTGTACGCCAAAGCTCCAACACTGCAAGGAAGATGCACAGGGGCGCAGGGCAAGAAACCCATGAAGCTGCAAAAACCTCGAAGAAATCAAAAAAATTCAAGAAAAACAAAAAAAAACAGGGTCCTGGAGAGAATGCCCAGGTCAGAATCTGGAAAAGTGAAAAACCTCGAGAAAATCAAAAAAACAAAAAAATCAAGGCCTTGAGAGAGATAGTCACTGGGTCTGGACATTCTGCTCCAGGACCTTGATTTTTTGTTGTGTTTTTTTGATTTCTTCGAGGTTTATTCACTTTCCGAGATTCTGACCTGGAAAAGTGAAAAACCTCGAGAAAATCAAAAAAATCAAAAAAATCAAGGCCTTGAGAGAGATAGTCACTGGGTCTGGGCATTCTGCTCCAGGACCTTGATTTTATTTGATTTTTTGTTTTTTTTTTGATTTCTTCGAGGTTTATTCACTTTCCGAGATTCTGACCTGGGCATTCTCTCCCAGGACCCTGATTGTTTTGATTTCTTCAGGTTTTTTCAACATGTTCATCCTGTGCAGCCAAAAAGCAGATGCAAGATGAAGTTGGGAAGCCAGAAGCCCGAGACCTTGCAGATTCTGGGATGTGTCACCAGAGATAAAACACAGAAAATTGTCGATCTTTGGGGGGGGACCATATATATATATATATATATATGTGTGTGTGTGTGTATGTGGTGGCCGAAAGGTAGGTCCCTGGAAAGAGGGGGTGCTTTTTTAAATAACTACTTTTGTGTGTGTATGTGTGTGTGTTTTAGGCTGCCTGTTTGGAGTGGCTCTAATGTGAACTCAAAAGAAAACCACCTAACAAGCCTCGGATCACATCCAACTTTCAAGTTGGGTTTGAGGCCACTTGCATTGCTTTGACAGGGCCTTTTCGGACCTGGCGAGGAACTCTCCGCAGAATTTTCAGGGTACCCTTTTTATGTTGGTTTAAGGGGAAACGCTAGAGACACACACACACACACCACCACACAGAAGTCTGGGGGGTCCAAATCCCATTTAGCTCCCAAATGGCAACTCGTGAAAAGCCTCACGGCTCGATCTTCGAAACGGGGCGCATTTCGCCCCCGTTTCGGGAAGAAACCAAAAGGGGGTCCAAAACGGGGTTCCTCTAGGCACGACGGCATTTGGAAGTCCTTCTTTTATGTGCAGAGTCAGGCTTTTTCCGACGATCGTGGAAGTAGTGGGGTTTTGGAGGTTCATCTTAGCCCCTGTCCGACCCTGTCCACTACCCAGTTGCAAGCAGTGACCTGAGAGTACGGGGGGTGGACCCCACCAAGCAAACCCGAAAAATGGACTGACAAGGGGAACACATCTTTCCTGACCCAAGGGAAGGATTGACAGGGTTGCTCAAACGTGCACCAATCAAAGGAAACATCACCAAATTGTTGACCATTGATATGCCATGCTTCGCGGGGCTTCTGCGCGGGCAAGCCCCCGGCCTTTGACCAGCCTAGGACAAACATCGGGATCCCTAAATGTCTCAAACATTGCCAGGCTCAAACCGGAGCTCCTTCCATTTGCTGAAGCCCCGAAGAAAAAAAAGGAAGTGACTCATCGACTCCCTTTAAAACCAACAGAGGTTTTAGTAAGACTACCTGCTTAACCAAATCCAACAGGGGGGAAACAACCACATCTTGGAAGATCATCCAAACGGTCCAAGGGTTTTTCTACTACACTCTGGGATTACGCCCTCTGGGGAATCACCCTATTCTAGGCTTACTTGGTTATTTTGGGTAGTTTCCTTGGTTGCTGTTGACCCCCTGCAAAAAGCTTAACTTTTTGAGGGGTTTTGTGGAGAACCCCTTGATTTCCCAAAGAGTTGAAGTCTAAAGATCCAACCCAATAGCAGTCAAGTTCTTCTGGGGTGTAATCCCAGGGTGTAATGAACAAATCGATAGAAACGTGGCACCCTGTAAAACCCCGAAGCCTGCAGCTCCGCCCTCACAGCGTCCGCCACCTGAAGCCAGGAACCCGAAAGATTCTCGCCGGGTTCGGCGACGGCAGGCGGGGTTTGAACCCAGCCTGACATGTTTTTCACGGATGGCAAGCCAACCATACTCAACCAAGCCATGGAAAATTAGAGTGGATTATCAGCCTTCCCCTAGTTGGGGATTGGATTGGTGACTTGGAGTTTTTGGGGGGTGGTTGCCCAATTATCCACACCAAAGGACCAGGGGTTCAAATCCCCAAACCACCAATCCAAGCTTGCCACGGAACAAAAACCAGCCAAACAAAAACCATTGACCCCCTGCCCTACTTCCATCCCCAAGTGGGAAAACATTGGGGTTCGGCACCCGCATGCCAGAAATGTTGTTCTGGGATTGGAAGGATCTCTTTGCCGTGAGGGTCCGTGCACCCCCCCCCCCTTTTGGGGCATTTGGGAAGAGCGAGGGGTGAGATCCGTTCCACAAGCCACACAAACATCGGCAAACAGTCGGCCTTTGACACCGAATCCAGTTGCCCAGTGACCTTGGTAAAACCAAGGAACACTTCTTTGGTGTTGACCATGAAATCTAGGTCCTCCAGTAGAGAGGTTAGAATAAGGGTACCAACTTCTTTCTGTAGTCTATTTTAGTAGGGGATCCCCCAAAAAAGGAAAAAGGGGCACTACTGGGGGACCTAGAAATTATTGTGGGCACCAATCAAGCAAGCAACTGGAAGGGCACAGGTGAGAAGATCGGTTTATGCTTCTGTCGCTAGATGTTCACCAGAACTTTCAGCAAATATCCGGGCCAAAAATTACAGCCCATGGTAAGAGGCCTTATCCAATCGATGTTCCAACCACACCATGGACGTTCCCTACTGTGGATGGACAAAATATCGGTCACCGGTTGGTATGGATGAAGCCTTGAGCGGGATAAAGCACCTACCACCTGGTGCGACGCAGGGTTTTGCGGCGTGGTTCCTCTATTAGGGCGGTGTAAAAGGCGACAAAAGAGATGATGGTTCCCTATTTCTTTGAGGCAAAATCGCTTCCCACAACCCATCTCCTCTTCCATTTTTCCTTCATCCTCCTCCATTTTCCTCCATTTGCTTGTCGTGATTGTGCGTGTTCAATCGCTGTTTCAATTTCCTTGTTTTTGTTTTTGTTTTTGCTTTGTCGATGTTTGAACCCTCCCTCCAACCCATCTCCCAGCTTGCCAAAACCAAAACCCAGCGCCTCCTCCTGCTTGGAGTCGGCAGCTTCAGGCACGCGGACGCGGCAAGGCGTGGGCATCTGGCCGAGGCGGCCACGTGCGGGAAAAGGAAACGTTTCAAGAAGAACTCAAAGGCTCCTGGTTGTGTACGCCCTCGCCTTTGCTACCTTGCTCAGTCTTGTCAAAAGGGAAAAACATCGGGAAAACTACAAACTTGGGGGGTCAAAATGGAGTTTTCAAGGCATAGTCTAGGTAGCCAGATCGAAAATCAATTTGAAAGCTTTGCCGAAATCCAATTTTAAAGGCACTGGTAGCCAAGTGGAAAGTAAAGGGGCCTAAGTCCCAACAGTCAGGGATGTCTGTTTGGTCCAGTTTTAGCCCAACATTGTTCTGGTACAGCCAAAATATCTCAAACCCTTTCTGACCACTGTGCAAAGACACTCACTTCCTGAGTGGGCTGGCCAATGTCTGATCTTTCTGTTTGCCGCTAAGATGGTCTTCCCAAAAGCTTAAAGCCCATGAGCTCAGGAAGCGAGGATACCTGGCACACGATCCACACCATGGCCCAATCTTCAAGCAAACTCAGGGAGAGCACGCGCGCCTCTGGGGATAGGATTCTGTGCTTGAACTGGGCTTACGGCTTATGGCCAAACTAGGTGCGGTGACTCTACGCAACCCCTGGCAACAAACAGGGCACAGCACGCAAAGGCCAGGATGTATAGATTGCGATTTCATGTGAGTGCACTGGTGAAAGTAGAATCAAAGTTCACATGGCCCAGCAACATCCAGCTAAGCATCATCACAAACCCATTAAGCCCAACCCAATCCCCGGCCAAGCTTGGTGGCCCCCTTTTTATGCTTGTTGAGGACAACCCATTCAAACAAATTCTATCAGGCAACCACTTTCCGCAGGCGTCTATTAAAACAGCGGGTCAACATGAGCCCAATAAGCACAACCGTGCCACTTGTCCTTTCCTGCTTTTGCCGCACCATGTCGCACTGATGTCCGTGGCGCCAGAGGTGCTTGCCGCATCTTACAGCTCGTGCGCGCTGGACTCATCTGAATCTGGCTCGTGGTGTGGGCATTGCGGGCCGCGGCTGCCCTTGCCCCATGTCGTACCGATGTCCGCGGCGTCTGGGCTCGCCGCAACAACTCGTGGTGTCGGCCTCCTCGGCAATTGCTTTCGACATCTTTCACCGTAAAACGCCCATCGACTTCTAGAGAAGTCACCCTTTCGGACAGAAACGATTGATTGGACATGGAGATAAACCAGGGGACCTCGTTCAGCTGCAAACTCCCCTCCATTACCCCACAGAATTAACATATTCCAACAAGCCGAAGCTCCTTTTGGGACTTAGATTCCTCGGGTTCCATGTGGCTGGGCTGTCCGGTGTCAGATCCGTGCGAAAAAAGATATAGCTTCTAGTCCGCAGGACTGGGAAACCCCACCACTGAACCAAAAAGCTAAGGGGATACCCCCACTAACTGAAACCAACGAAAAAGATCTCAAAAGCCGTAAAACGCCAGGATAGCCCCCACTACACCAACTAGCAAGATCTAAAATCTAAAAAGCTAAGGGACCGCATGGCTGGGAGCCGGGAGCCAAGGCTTTGAGGCGGGGAACCAAAGACTTACATCCGACCAACACGCCGACGATCGATCGCCTCCCTGAGGCGCGCCAGCTGCGAATCCCAGTCCTCTGACAAAGGCGAGTGCGCGCGCGCGCGCGCGCGAAAATATGTGTTTCCTTCCCCCGAAAGAGGGATAGCCAACACCCTGGCGTTCAGTTACCACCAGCGAAACAATGGGGGGTTAGAGCTTACCTCACAACTTCCATTTGCTTAAGCCCAATGAAAAGAATAAACCTATTTCCAGTAGTGATAGATTCCCGTTTAAACCAACAAGAGAAAATAACACATATTCTTATGCAAATGGAAGAAAAGAGGAATAGCCAAACTCTGGGGTTCAGTTACCACCAGTGAAACAATGGGGGGTTGAAGTAACCACCATTACTTACCTGCGGGTTTTCATGGTCCAAATTGGGTCAACCATTTTTTAAATGGGGGGTTGAACCCAGGGCCTTAAAGAGGTTGGAAAACAGGGGGAAACCCGAAAGGGGATTCTATTTAAACATGTCCAACTGATGCAGGCAAACAACTTAATTTATACTCCCCCAATAGTTCTTGAAAGGTGCTTGCGGGTTTTCTAATTTCCGCGTGCTTGGCGACCCCCAATTGGTCCAGGCACATCTGCAGTCGCACGGCCAAAGCCATCGACGGGCCTGCAAAGCGGTGTTGCTCCCTGAATGGGTGGGATGAGCCAAAACAAGTGGCTGAACAAAAAGGGACCTTCTTGAACATCAGTTTCACCAGTTTCTTGGGAAACAACCTTGAGGGAACGACCCTTTCAGAGGGCACCATTTCTTTGAACGGCGCCTGCGCTGGACCTGCATCCCAGGCAACCAGTCCTTAATTCTCTGGGAATGACTTTCTTTCGGAAGTCTTCCCAGGTCCCGTTAATGTAAACCCCCCAATCGCAAAAGTATCCTCTATTGTGGCATGTTTTTCGCAATTCAGGATCTGGTGACTTTTTGGGTCCTCCTCAATTGTGGCGTTTCAACCGCGACTGGGAAAAGTAACAAGCAACCGGCAGTTGGAACATTGGCAACCCGCCCGGCCAGTCTCCTCCATGCTCCAAGCGTCCGCTTCCTGCGCGCCATGCTCAAGAAACGGCTCCAAGCCGAGTGAAAAAATCCCGACCTATGAGTCCAATAGACCAGCTACATCGAATTCTACACATCCCTTGTGGGATTTACTCTCTAGACATGCCAACCAGGGATCTGGTTCCCTGTGTGTGGGGAACTCGTCGGCTGGCTGCTCGGCCTTCCTCTTGCAATGCCCAACAGATCGTCAGGCCACGCCAAGAGATTGATGGTTCTTTGTTCCTCAAAGGGCCCGGAAATAAAAGATTAAGGTCCGCAAAGTGCATGCTTACCCTCGCGCAACTCGATTTTTTGGGGGGGGAACTAGGCACAGTTCTTCTCATGTTTGGATGGGCCCCTTTTGAGAAGATTTTGGGACCTCTACTATTATTAATGGACCAAGGGGAAACCAAAAGGTGAAAAGGCTCGCTTTGGACAGCTGAGGGTTGCGCTTAAGAACATCCAAGTGAATCAACAGCTCTTGACATGCAGCATCTTGACATCTAGGCGCGCCAAAGCCGCACAGTGCTGATTGATACAATTCTGACAAAGCGGAGCCCTCCTTCATACTCTTGCGCTCAATGGTCTTAAGCAATGACTTCGCCCCACCAACAGAAAAAGGAGTCATCCAAAACCCATGTGATGGTAGGGGACCAGGACCCTCTGAATGATTAGGAATTGATTTGTCATGGCTCAAGATCAAGCCCGTTTGGCTGCAAATGTATGTGTTTCACCCTTTCCTAGTGAGGAAGTTCTCATTTCCCCGCAAACGCATGCAGTGGCCCATCCAAACATGAGAAGAACTGTGCCTAGTTCCCCCCTCAACTCGCTTTGGTTCGAAGCCGGCTAGCTTCCAACGTGTATATCTTATGGCAAGTTTGCGTTGCGCCGTAACGGCTCCCGAACCACCAGCAAGGTTTCAAACCGAAACGTGCACGTTTTGTTGGCATTTACGTTGGGGGGTCGACTCAAAAACCGTTGGGTTAAGTTTCAGGGTGGTGAGAAATGGATTTCACCACCCGGCTCCCGATTCATGTTCGGTCAACAGCCAGGTTTTGAGACTCCCAAGCACGGAAAGCGGGGTGTCCAGTGGAGGGCTTCCATTGAACGCAGCCTCTGGGCGGGATGAAACCCTGAACTGTTTGGTATTTTCCAAAAGGGGAATCGAACATCATAGGCTTTCTGCTCGCTGATTGAAGCGGATTTCGTCCAGTGGCTTTGCCCCACATCGACCCCTCGGCAACGCAAGTCAATTCGGCCTTGGTGGGATTCGCGTCTCCGGCGGAAGGCGCCTCGAGTGCCAAAAGAACCGAAGAGCGGTCCCTAGACATCCACGGAAGGAACCCAACAGGGTCCAATTCCCACAAGGAGATTCCGACCCACAGGGTTTATATGTTAATCTGTAGCGAACTGGATAATTCGGAAACGCCTTTGATATTTCCCCAGATAGCTGAAAGCCATAGGGGTTCTAACTTCTAAAGAGGGGAAAGTGATTTGCGAGATTGACGGCTGGGTGCCAGGGGGCATGCAGTCTGGGGTGCTGGCACAGGTGCTGCGTTTTGGGATTTGGTTTGGGTGCTGCGTTGAAGTGCAGGTGCTGTTTTTGGGGGTCTTGATGACAGCCAGGTGTGTGTTTGTGAGATTGACGGCAAGATGCTGCGGGGCATGCGGCTTGGGGATTCTTACGCAGGTGCTGTTTTGGGATGCTTTTTTTGGTGTTGCTTGAGGTGCTATTTGGGGTCTATGCTGGTGTAATTGTTTTGTCATTTTGTTTTGCTGTTTCTTTCCATTCGGGTTTGTCTTGTTTGTTGTTGTTTTTTCTTCTTCTGTTGCCACCATTGTCCGATTGGGGCTGGTTGCTTGTTTGCCGTTGTCTTCTAACGCGCGTTCACGGGTGGGTGTTTTACTCTGTAGCAGCTGGGCGCGCATCATGCTAAAAAAACGAATGGCAGTCGCGACCGTTTTGCGCTGTGCTGCCTGATGGTCCACAAGGTGCTTTGCTTCGATACTGTTTGCCACGTTTCCTGACATGGTAGTTTCAATGGGTGTGTCAGGTGCCTCTGGCCTGAAGTTGCGTTCCTTGGCGCCAGCTGCCGCGGTCTTGTCTTGTGAGTCTTGTCAAAGACCTTATGCTTGTGGCTCAATAGTTTTCTGCATCTGAAGCCAGAAGATAGCAACGCCTTCTGCGGACCTGCAGAACTCACAATCAAGAAGTGTGTCAAGATAACAATCTCTAGCACGAGTCGGAGCCACAAGGGAATGACGTTAACCCCTACAAAAACAAGATAAGCGTTTCCTGCTTGAGCAGCTAAGCATCGTAGCCACCAAGTTTGTTCCACACGTTCGCCCTTTCAAACACGGTGCCTGACGTCTGCGCCAACACAGCACTGAACCGAAACTATTTCACTGAGGCACCTTGAACTACACCTCATAACAACACCACATCTTGAGTTGCTGCACACACACAGAACACACGGACGGCGACCCCACACTTTCCAACCCATAGCGTTTTTACACATACGAAAGCACATGCCAAGAACAAAGAAGAAGATCCTGCGGTACTTATCTCATCTTTTCTGCCCTGTTGACTTGATTTGACCCTTAACCAGTTCCACCCCTGAAAGAGAGAGAGAGAGAGAGAGAGCGAGAGAGAGAGAGAGAGCACTGGCAAACCATTCAGCCTTTTTCCGTGAGGGCAGTGAAGTCGTCTCCGCGGACTTAACTCTGATATTCCGACCAGGGTGGTATAGGCAAGAGTTAAGAGTTGTCTGCACCCTGCAGGAATCCCATCTTGGTCACCACCTGCATGGTGTGCTCCCAGTTAGGTAGTTGAAATTGACCATAGACCCCAGAACAAATCGCACAACTTAATGTGACATTGCGCTAGAGCAGATAGCTCCTTGGGCTCAAAAGGTATACCCTCCTGTGGATTAACGCGAAACCCCAAAACATCCAAAAAACCATAATTTTCGGGGGCGAACCCCCTTTTCTGGGTTCCTTTTGTCAATTTTGCAGGGGTGCTTGGATGCTCAACCTTCTAGTAAGTAGGTTGAATTTATCGTCGCAAGTCCCAGCCATGACTCTAAGCTACTTACGAAGTTGGCTGATCCATTTCATGGGAAAAAGGGCATCCTTGTTTGGTTGGGTTCCGCCACATTGCTCAAGACCCCACCCCCACCCAATTGCTTTTTGGTTGGTTGAGTTTAAACATTTCAAGGGGAACCCTTCCCCTTAAAAAACGGAAAACTGGGCGCCACTGGGCAACTGGGATGCAGGTACCCTTCAGCATGGCACCCACAAAGATCCACAAAGGGCGTCCTGCGAAAGGGATCTGAAGATGTGCATGTTTGATCGTCTCCTTATGCGCAGTGGGATCCCAGTTGCCCAGTCACCCCGCCGAGCAGAAAAGAAAAGAGTAAAGAGATTCTCGGTCGCTTTCTGCGAAGCCCTGCTAAAAGTGACTAACTTTTAGCGGTTTCATGGAAAACCCACTAGTTGGCAAAAGTTAAAGTCCTAACATCCAACATGCAGCAAAGAGATATCATTTTGCGGGTTGACCATCTTTCGGTGTGACCCCACCAAGAAAGGGGAAGGCGGCAAATTGGGTGCCGAACACCTGGCTTTCTCAAAGTCCGAACAGAAACCGTGGGTTCCTTTATCTCACTCGCCCAAAGGACCTGGAGCTAGAAGGTTAACTTGGGGCCATGACTAAACAGAGACCGAAATTGGAAAGCCAAAAGGTCAGATCCGGTCGATTCGCTTTGAACCTGCACTTGCTCAAGTCCCCTGGAAAAAGTAAACATATTTCCAGTTGTGATAGATTCCCTTTAAAACCAACAGGGGAAAATAAACAAACATCTTCTTCACCAAATGGAAGACAACTGAGTCATGCCTTTTGAGTCTGTACCTCGCAAGCTCCCCCCCCCCGCCCCCGGTCGCGCCGTGGACTCGGCGCCATCTGGGGTCCTTTCATAGACCCCACGGGGACTGACCAACAAACAAATTCAACACTTTGGTTTACCAGTTAAGATTCATCACTTTTGGAGAGAACACCCCCCTAATAATGGGACGGGTTTATTAATCCTGGGTCACCACAAAAATGGTCCAAACCCAACAAAGACAAAGTCTACGAACTCAGGGAGTGAGAAAATCATTGAGTCCAACCCGTTTGAGTCCAAAGGCTCAGGTGCAAACCTGGCCGCCTAGCTGAACTCACAACAGTTTGTTCTGCGAGGATTCATCCTAGTTCAGCTATCAACTTTTTGATGCTGGCCTATAAACCTGTTTTGCTTCGAGACGAGGCAGTTGTTTGCAGCCTTCAAAAGCCCATCTTGTTTTCGAACGTTGTGTAGTGACAAATGGGTTCCGCCTGGCCTATGTTGGTAACTGGAAGTATCAAAGATTGAGAACCAAGGAGCGCTAGCATGCGTGGCATGTGCCCCTGGCGACACTTCCAGAAAAACGGGTTGGACGCGCGCTTTGCAATTTCCGTACTCTCATAGTAATCTTTTCGGATTGATGCTCCATGCAAATTCACAGAGACCCCCGAAATCGGGGTCCAATTCCCGAAAACGAGGTCCAATTCCGGGCGTCTTCATCGTAAACCCCTGGCTGGGTCCTCTCCACTGTCCACGGCATCCACCTGACCATGGGAAGCCACCCCTTGAACTGCCTGGTGTCCTGCAAAGGCCTTGACTCGACAAACAAAAAAACAACTCGGCAGCAGAAAATGGCGTTGTTTTGAGGGCACACTAGCGGGTGCTTGAGGGAACCCGACATGAAACATATAATTTTGAGGGGTTTTCCGATTGTCCACCAGTGGCTTCCTTCCTTGGCTAGAATTTAGAACGTGTGGCACGAGTAGCGGTCAGCTATAGCGTGCAACCGTGCAATGGGTATGTCTCCGTTTTGGGACGATGCTTCAAGGACACCAACGTATCAAACAAAAACTACCACCACTTGCACACATGCTGGCCACTTTGCCCTGCCACTGCAGATTTGTTTAGACACATAGACTAGGTCCTCCAGATTTGAGAGGTTAGACTAAGGGTACCTTTGTTTTTTTCTGTAGTCTATTTTAGTAGCGGAACCCAACCAAAAAAGAGGTTAACAAGGGCACCTAGCTGGGGGACTGAGTCGAGCTCCGGAATTTTGGGTTTGGCGTCTCTGAATTCTTCCGCCATTCAGGTCTAGAGCCGAGGACTTGCCGCATGCTCTCCAGGCCTATCGAATTCAAATCAGCATCACTTCGTGGGAAACACAGATGCAGCAAATCTGTTGGGAGTGAGTTCGAGGGGTCACCAAGGTGGCACAAAATGAAACCGGCTGCACAAAAATACGTCCATAGATGCAAGGGTCATGTCAAGCTTCAAGCAAAGCCTCAAGCCTAGACGAGCCCTTCAGAAAACATGGGCCCCTGTTAGATGTGCTCTCGATTTGTAGTGGCCGTGTTCGACGGGCTCACTCTATCTCCGCACGCGAACTGGGTTCAATGGAACCCGAGTAATGAATCAACACTGATCGGTCCTGAAATAATTGAGAAGACCACGAAGGCACCCATTTATGGCTGGTTCTATCCCTTACTCACCTTCATCTACCCGAGTTTTAATCGTGGCTCGCCTGAAAATCGCCCCATCGAAAGAACCTGCAGATCAAAGAAGGCGGACCCTGCCTGTCTGGGCCTGCGGCATCACCTCAGAACGCCAAAAACCGTTGCAAGATGTTTAAGCAAACTATGTGTTTTGAACATCTCCCTTTCATAGGCGTCGTTGTAGGGGAAATAGATGGATATCCCTGGTAGATGAAAAAACAACTCCAGGTAAACCAGGAATCGCCAGAATTTGCTGTTCTAGCAAAACAACCAAAAAGGACACCTACGGTAGAAGGATACCTGCCTCCAAAGGACACCTACGCTCCCTGGGGTCTCCCTTAGGGCCAGAGGATCACAGAAAGTTACGGCCTAGCCCAAGTGCGTCCAGCAACCACTAGGACAAGTAACCAGGGCTTCTTACCTCTTGGTTTATAACCATCCTGGTTTCCCTTCTTAGAAGTGGTAACTGGGGACCTAATTATTTTTCAGCGGAAACCTCGCTGAAAACAAATCGAAGGAAATTAAGGCCAAACCAACCATGGACGGGAACAGTCCTTTCTCCCCTTCATGGAAACGAAACCGGGGGGGTTTGACTCATGCAGCACAATTACTGTGACAGCGGAAACCGCCTAAACTAAAAAAATAGTCAATGTTCGACCTGAAAGAATGGAGGGAGCCAGTTTGTCGGGAACTCAACATCGTCTCATGGCTGCAATTGCACCCGGATTAAAGTAGATGGAACATGTTTTTCCAAAGCAATCGCGAAGCGTTCGTCCGAGCGGCTCCCTAGGACCAAGTTACATAGAGCCAAGTTACATAGAGCCAAGTTACATAGAGCCAAGTTACATCGAGCCAAGTTACATAGAGCCAAGTTACATAGAGCCAAGTTACATAGAGCCAAGTTACATAGAGCCAAGTTACATAGAGCCAAGTTACATAGAGCCAAGTTACAGAGAGCCAAGTTACAGAGAGCCAAGTTACATAGAGCCAAGTTACATAGAGCCAAGTTACATAGAGCCAAGTTACATAGAGCCAAGTTACATAGAGCCAAGTTACATAGAGCCAAGTTACATAGAGCCAAGTTACGTAGAGCCAAGTTACATAGAGCCCAAGTTACATAGAGCCAAGTTACATAGAGCCAAGTTACATAGAGCCAAGTTACATAGAGCCAAGTTACATAGAGCCAAGTTACATAGAGCCAAGTTACATAGAGCCAAGTTACATAGAGCCAAGTTACATAGCGCCAAGTTACATAGAGCCAAGTTACATAGAGCCAAGTTACATAGAGCCAAGTTACATAGAGCCAAGTTACATAGAGCCAAGTTGCATAGAGCCAAGTTGCATAGAGCCAAGTTACATAGAGCCAAGTTACATAGAGCCAAGTTACATAGAGCCAGTTACATAGAGCCAAGTTACATAGAGCCAAGTTACATAGAGCCAAGTTACATAGAGCCAAGTTACATAGAGCCAAGTTACATAGAGCCAAGTTACATAGAGCCAAGGTTAGGTAGAGCTTAGAGCTTCGGCGTTAGCAGCTATGTAAGTTAGTTTAGGTTTCAAAGGCGCCGGGGCGGGAGTTTGATCGTCGCTCGGGATTGCGACCCTCTGCGGAGATTCGCGTGGTCGAGGTTCAAAAACTGAGGACTTTTTACGATTTCTGCTGGCCGCGCGCGACCCTCTGCGGAGATTCGCGTGGTCGAGGTTCAAAAACTGAGGACTTTTTACGATTTTTAGCATGCGCGCGCGACCCTCTGCGGAGATTCGCGCGGTCGAGGTTCAAAAAACTGAGGACTTTTTACGATTTTTAGCATGCGCGCGCGACCCTCTGCGGAGATTCGCGTGGTCGAGGTTCAAAAACTGCGGACTTTTTACGATTTTTAGCATGCCCGCGCGACCCTCTGCGGAGATTCGCGTGGTCGAGGTTCAAAAACTGCGGACTTTTTACGATTTCTGCGGTGCGCGCGCGACCCTCTGCGGAGATTCGCGTGGTCGAGGTTCAAAAACTGGGCACTTTTTACGATTTTTAGCATGCGCGCGCGACCCTCTGCGGAGATTCGCGTGGTCGAGGTTCAAAAACTGGGCACTTTTTACGATTTTTAGCATGCGCGAGGTTCAAAAACTGCGGACTTTTTACGATTTTTAGCATGCCCGCGCGACCCTCTGCGGAGATTCGCGTGGTCGAGGTTCAAAAACTGGGCACTTTTTACGATTTTTAGCATGCGCGCGCGACCCTCTGCGGAGATCGTGTGCCCCGTCGAAGCGCTCTCGCTGTGGCGCCGTGCGAATTTGTCTTAGTCTCGGCGAACCCTCTGCGGAGATTGTGCGTGTCGAAGCGCTCTCGCTGTGGCGCCGTGCAATATTCTTGCTCGCGAAACGGCCTTTGGAAGTTGTCTCGTGGTTTGCGTGCGCTGCTTTCGCAATCCCGCGGTCGCGGGTTCGATTCCCCCCTGGTCCGCGGCAGCTCCGGCTTGAAAATCGCAGCTTTTAAGTACAAACGTAGTACGCGGAGCGTGCTCCTGCAGCTCCGGCTGGAAAATCGTAACTTTTAAGTACAGACGTAGTGTGCGGAGCGTGCTCCCGCAGCTCAGGCTGGAAAATCGCAATTTTTAAGTACAAACGTAGTACGCGGAGCACACCCCCGCAGCTCCGGCTTGAACATCGCAACTTTTAAGTACAAACGTAGTACGCGGAGCGTGCTCCTGCAGCTCCGGGTGGAAAATCGCAATTTTTAAGTACAACGTAGTATGCGGAGCGTGCTCCCGCAGCTCAGGCTGGAAAATCGCAACTTTTAAGTACAGACGTAGTACGCGGAGCACACCCCCGCAGCTCCGGCTGGAGAATCGCAACTTTTAAGTACAAACGTAGTACGCGGAGCACACCCCCGCAGCTCCGGCAGCACTTGCGCAGAGCAACTTGCGCAGAGTCACTTGCGCAGAGCAACTTGCGCAGAGCAACTTGCACAGAGCAATTGCACAAAGCACTTGCGCAGAGCAACTTGCACAGACCAACTTGCACAGAGCACATGCGCAAAGCGCTTGCACGGAGCAACTGGCGCAGAGCCCTTGCGCAGAGCAACTTGCTCAGAGCACTTGCGCAGAGCAACTTGCACAGAGCAGGCGCAGAGCAACTTGCACAGACCAACTTGCGCAGAGCACATGCGCAAAGCGCTTGCGCGGAGCAACTGGCGCAGAGCACTTGCGCAGAGCAACTTGCTCAGAGCACTTGCGCAGAGCAACTTGCACAGAGCACTTGCGCGCAGCAGCTTGCAGAGAGCAACTTGCGCGCAGCAGCCTGGAACAATGCAGCTTGCGCAGACCACTTTCGTGAGAAATCGCGCGGCGCAGTTCGAGAGGAAAGTAGGATGATGAGATGGAGCTCTCATGTGACCATACACACTGAGCATCGCCGCGCGCAGACACGCTCGCCGCAGCGATGTAAAAAGGTGTCTCCGCGGCTGGATGAGCACCTGTGGAAAAATGCTTTCGGGCCAATCGTCCTCTAGTTCTTTTGTATGATGGGTCCTGTCAAACAACCGTACGTCCAAAACACAAAGGCCAAACACATATTTGCCAGGAACTAAGCACATCCAGAGAAAAGCACGCGCTCCATCCCGAGACGATTGACCAGCTGTCATCCACTGCAACTAGTGATCGTATCTCTGCAGGCTGATCGCTGGAGGCAAGGCAGCAGGTGAACAAAGGCCCCCAGAAATCGATCAAGAGGCATGTTTAGAGCTTGGTCCAGCTGGAAAGCATGACGAGTTCGGCATGAGCACCTATCTGCTCATGTTTGGTTGCTTGCTTCACGCTTGGCGCTAGACAGCAGGCCAATGTTTTACGTGGGGGGGGGTCGTTTTTGAGGGCACCCTTTTGTGGTGGTCTTAAAAGACAACTGAAAGGAAAACCTTTTGTTTTGGATTTCGGGGGGTCCCCAAAAAAAGACACATAGAAAAACACATGTGAGCATTCATTCCGGTAGGCAAGGGGGTAAAAGAAAATGGCTGCTCACTTTAGGTTCTGCCCATATACCCGCCACCAAGTAACATGGAACCTGACAGGGGGGTCCTGGAAGACCAGCTTCCTAATACATGACTCCCTGTTAGGTTCCACATTGGTTGGTGGGAGGGTAAATTACACGCAAGTGGCAAACGGCCTTGTAGTACCACTGTGGGATTCCCGTCATCTTACTTCAACACTTCGGGGATTGTTGGAGTTCCTGGTCCCCAAACAGTAAAGGGGGAAAACCCCAACGATCCGTTGGATCCGATGCTTGTCCGTGTCTATGTGAATGTGCCTTGCTTTGAAGCTGCCTTGTTTTCTTCAGGAAAACAACAGGAGAACAATACACATGTCCGGGTGCATCCTATTTAATGACTTGCCACTTCATGGCGTTCCCGTCAAGGGGCCACCTGCTCAAATCCTTTTGAATCACTATTCTATGGGTTGATTCCCCATTTTTTCCAACCATCGTTCTTCTCGAAAACCGGCCGTTTCCATGGGTTTCCGGAGGTTTTCTAGAAGAAGGATCCCCGGAAAGAATGGACATGGAAGGTAGCACTAGAACCATTGTACCCCCCAAAAAATATCGGTTCGCCCCTTATTTCGGGTACAGCATCCATTTGGTTTCCTTTTGCTTGCTTCAGCACTCCCCGCGGGTTTCTGGACTTTGCCCGTCAGGGAGAAAACCGTTTGGTGTCAACTTGTGCAACATCTTGTTCCAACCAGCCTGGCCCCAGCATCACAATCCTTGGCTTGGCAAAGACGCTCTTGTTCCAGTTGAGAAATGGACAGAACCAAACAACTAAAACACAACACGCCCCTGCTAAACATGGGTACAGTACAGAACCCACAAACAAAAAACAACTTGACCCAAGAACTAAAAAGCACAACAACTTGATCCAATAACAGTGCCACCTGCCACGCATGGTTACAGAACCCACACCCAAAAAACAAAACAAAAATGGACACACCACCCAAAAAAAAACAAACCTGACCCGCCAAACAAAACAACAAATAGCTGACCCAAGAACTAAAAAACACAACAACTTGATCCAATAACAGTGCCACCTGCCAAACATGGTTACAGAACCCAGACCCAAAAAACAAAACACGAAAGGACACACCAAAAAAAAAAAAAAAAACAAAAAACAAACTGACCCAAGCACAGTATAGCCACGGCTCTACCCACTTTTTCTCCAGGCTTCCGGGCCGTCCACGTCCAGGGACCGCACCGCGGAGCTGATGGGCCCTACCTCCTCCTCGTCCCCGATGTCGTAGACCTGGCGAGTGGCGTACCAGTTGGCCCAAATCCGCGCACGCAAAAATCCGATGCTCCTGTTCTCAAGCTGCTTTGCGTTTAATGGCCGTTATATCCTAAATTCTGGGGCCATTACCAATTTTCAGAGCATGCCTCTTTTAGGCAACCCTGATATGCTTGGAGACTCCAGGATAGATGTGGCCTTTGCTCGCACGGATCGTGTTTCACTCTTCGCTGGTTGGTAGGGCCAAGGCAGCACATTTCTCAACACATTAAGGGTCAGAGATCAAACCCAGCAGACTCCTCTTGGTCCCCCTTCCAAGTTGGCCAGGGGCGAGAAAACGGATCGAGCGAACCCGACAGAGGCCTCTGTCGGGGAGGACGAGTTAGTCCACGCAGAGCCTGCCCAGGATCGAAAAGTGAGTCCTGCACGAAATGTCCCCTTTTCGACCTTGTCAACATATATCCTTTTCTCGCCTGCCTCCGTTCATTAAAAGAATTAAATGTGTTCTCTTCCGGCGACCCACGCTTCTCCGTTGTTCCGGCCAAACACATACAAACAAATCACTTGAGTTCCCTCTAATCATGACATGCACCACTCTTTTCTTTTCTCCTGGGCAAGAGGGGCGCATGCTTGGCAGGGACAGGGTCCTTTCAAGTCTTCTTTTGACACCCTCAGATCCCTCAGGTCCCATGGACACCTGGCGTTTATTTGGCAAAACTCACATCCTCAAAACTCGTAACAAAAAAAACAAAAACACAAAACACCAAAGCGACGGTAAATAAACCCCTACGAACCTTTAAGCAAACCCTTAAAATTCGCCTCGGCCCCAAAGGGGCCAAGGGCGCTCAGATCTCTTCTTCTCCCCCCTCCCCCAACCCCCTCCCCAACCAAAATTTTGCCGGCCCCCCCCCCAACCCATGTCAGCTGGCCCAAAATCCTGTCCGGCGGGCCTTGAAATTTTCGGGGTTCGTCGGCGTCCAGCTCTATGGGTCCATTTTTGTCGAAAATGTGGGGAAAATCACTAAAAATTGCTTTTTTGTCCTGAAAAGCATGACCTCCTGCTGGCCAAGGCCTGTCTGACGTGTCTGAGACTAGGCTCAGGCCCAGCCCAACCAGCAATCCGCCTGCTGGCCCCAAGTCATCCAGCAAGCCCAGCCCAGCCTCGCATCTCAGAGCATGCCAGCCACTAGCCGGCCCCAGCTCCCAGCCCACCAGCAGGCCCAGCGTGCCAAGGTCAGGTCGTGTCTGAGACTGGCCTCACCAACAACCAGTCTCACGTGTCTGAGACTGGTCTCAAGCTATGCCAGCTACTAAGCCTGTCTGACGCGCCCCTCAGTCCGGCTGCCCAAGCGCTCAGCCCAGGCTGGCCAGGCCTTGACCTCCTGCTCGCGTCTGGCCCCAAGTCATCCAGCAGGCCCAGCCCTTTCTCAAAGTATGCCAGCCTGAGACTAGCCTCAGGCCCAGTCCCTCAGCCCGCCTGCTGGCGTGTCTTGCGTGTCCGCGACTGGCCTCAGGCCCAGCCCAGCCAGCAACTTGCCACCCAGCCTCAGGCCCAAGTGTGTATGAAACAGGCCTTGCCCAGCAGCCTCGTGGCTGAGACTAGCTTGCAGGAGTGGCACAGCGCCCCGAGATACCGCCCGGTGCCGTGGCAGTGGTGGAGCCTCTTCTCTGCGGTCTCGAAGTCGAAGTACGCGAGGCACTCCCTGCAGCGAGTGGCCCCTCACATGCCTCCCATCTTCCCACACCTCGCACCGGCAGCCGCTCCTGCACAGCCCTCGGCTCGGCCTCCAGCGCATGTTGGTCCACAGCCTGGTCTGCTTCCTGTAAGGAGTCCCGTACTTGGTGGCCGGATTCTCGATGACCCACATGAGCGGGTCGAAGTGCGCCATGATCTCAAGGGCTCTGAGCACCAGCGCGTCGCCCTCCTCAAGTCGTCGAGGGCGCATCGTCAGAGCTCTGCTGTACTCCGTGCAGACCGGGCTGGCCCAGACCATGTCAAAGTGCCCAGGCGGAAACAGCGCGTAGTCCCAGCTCCGGATGTCGCACAGGATCGTGGGCTCAAATTTCGACACGATGTCCAGGGAGACGACCTTCCAGCCCACCGCCTCGAAGGCTCGGCCAATCGACTTTGTGCCGCAAAACAGCTCCAGCAGTCTCGGCATGTTTAATAATCACCACCAGCACGACGAAGCACGCACAGGCGACGGCGCGGCTCAAGCAGTTTCGCATGCTCGGACCAACCTTTTTTTAATCGGAGACAGAAAAGGATGACGAGCCAGACAAGCATGTGGAACTTGGGGCGCTCCAATGCTAAGGGTGGCAAGTTCTTGAGCCTGGAGCCGCTGTTTTGGCAGAGCGAAGCTTCGCTGGAAATCCCATGGGAGCCCAGGGCTTTTTCCGAGGGCCAGCGCCCCAGCGTGAGCTTCGCAACCGAGGCTCTTCTGGGAGCGGGCCGAGACCGATCTGGTCGAGCAGCTGGCGGCCGCGTCCGAGCGCGTCTTCGACGCGAAGCTCACCCGCGAGGCCGTGCGCCAGCGGCTGCTGCCCTCTGTGAGGCAATCGCGCGGCGGCGATTGGCTGCTGAAGGCCAAGCTGCCTGCCCACGCGCGCTTCTGGAACGCTGGCGGCACGTTTGCGGACCGTCCTGCTGAGCTGGCCCACTGCGCCGCGGGGATCTGCGTGTGGAGCCACCGTCTCGCGAGTGCCCGCTGTAGTTTCTTCCGATGCCGCAGCCGATTTTTGCTCAGTAAAAAAATCAGAATGGCCACCCACATCCCTGATGCGCTGAAGCGGGGAGCCTCTTTGGAGGAGGTGAGCCGCCTGCATGATGAGCTCACTCGGGGAGGTTTGTCTAACGTGCGACTGGCCTCAGGCCAACGACCAGTTCTCATCCTGAAGGACCGAAGGATGTGTGTTTAGATGAATCCTTGCTGAAATGAATATTCTTTATGTCCCCTTGTTGGTTTTACAGGGAAACTATCACTATTGAGGATATTTTTCCGGGGTACTTAAGCAAATGGAGGTTTGTATTCCCACCATGTACCTGTCTTGGGCTGAGCAACCGAGCAAGAAATGTATGTCATGGCAAGCCGCCAGCCCCGTGAAATGGAGGTGCCCAAACACCCAAAGTTGGTCTTGGTTGTTCAGTGACACCAATTATTGTTCCCCTTTTTATGGAGGCCAAGCCCCACTAAAAATGCTCATCCCCAGAAAGAGGTCCTTTTTTTTCCAAGGGCACTGAGCAGCTGAGATAGTCTTGGTTTTGGATTTCAATCCTTCCGAGCAGGACGGCTTCCGAACATCGAACTAGCACGGGCGAACTGGTGCGGTCACAAGCTTTCAGTAGGATTCGGACCTTCCCAACACTGGATTTCGGTGTTCCTGACCCTTCCCTCAAACTAGGCTGGGCCGAGGCGGGCAACGCGAAGCGTTTACAATAACACTTGACAAACCCTTGAACAAACACACCTTGCTTGCTGTCAACCCCTCTGCAAAAAGTGGAATTCTTGCTGTGGGTCCAATTCGGAAAACCCCAGCCGTCTCCACCAAAAAGTTCTTCAGCCAGATCCGTTGCCAAATAGCCAAGCGATTTATCCACACAGCTGTGCCGGTTCTCAGCAGGGAATGAGTTGGAATAGACCTAGAAACCATCCCCGACTTGGTTCCGTAAGGAAATCTCAAAACAAATCCCCGAGAGCCATGCCCATCCTTCCCCTCTCCCGCCTGAGGGGCTCCGCGCGTCGTTGCGGCGGGCAGGCGTCACCTCAGTCGCAACCGGTGACTCGAAATTGATCCCAGGGGAAGCCTCGCTCACTCGAGCACCTGGCAAAAAAGCAGCTGGGTCCTCCAGTAGAGAGGTTAGAATAAGGTTACCCTTTTTTCTGTAGTCTATTTTAGTAGGGGAGCCCTCCTCCCAAAAAAAGGTAAAAGGGCACTACTGGGAGACCTAGACAGTTAGCATTGTTGAATCTTGACTTCATGTGGACCAACATGGAAAAACCCAAAGGTCAGATTCGGTCGATTCGCTTTGGACAAGCGAGCTTCTTGGTTTTCAGATAAGGCTGGGTTGCAGATCAGTACCCTCGTGATGGGGGGAACAAATGGCTAATCATCTAAATGTTGCCTAGTCTTACTCAAACGCCCACTGGCCATAGGGGAACAACAGGTTCCTTTTCTTGCTGGTTGATATTTTAAGGAAAGCATGAACAAAGTAAAAAGGCATGGATATTTGAGTTTCATGACCACTCACACGAGTTCAGGTCCTCCAAGTGGAACCTTTCCTTCGCAACCTGCGGCCAAGCGGCGGTCTGCATGGCGTCGACTTGCGGCAACTTCTTGCACTGCACCGGCGCCAAACGGCGGCGGAAGTTGGTTGGCGGAGTTGGGTCAAGCCCTCCCTTTAACATTCTTCAACCATCTGTGCATCCTTTTGGCTTCCTTGACGGGGGGGTGGTTGTCCAAACCAATTTTGCGCAGTCCGTTCTCCTGTTTCCCAAAATGGGGCACCAAAGGATATTTGGGGCATGTACCAAAAAGCCGGGGCATCACGTAATTCCTCTTGAGCACAGCAAGTTGAGGAGAAAAAGGGGTTTGGGGGCCCTCTCTAAAATTCCAGTGGGACCCCTGCAGCACTGGATATTATAGACATTACCTTTGCAAGTCAGAGGGAACTTCATCCCTTTCGGATCCTTACAAATTCGACGGCATTCCACCAGAGAAGCATCGGACCGCTCCATCTCCTTCGCTTGACAGGTAACAACACGCGCAAAGTGCTCCCCTGCGAAGTAACATGGACCCCCGCCAACAAGAACCCATTTTTTTGGAGGCATCTCCTTTTGCGGGACCCCTTTCTTGGGATCCTTGTTAACTAGGGAAGCTTTCCTACTAGCAAGCTGCTCGCACTGCACTTTTGTCCCCATCAGTTGGCGGGATAGCCCTCGTCCTTCTTGGCATCCAGCACGGATCCTCAGCGAAAACCATCTCGCTCAGCGAAAACACGAACATAGGCTCAAGCCAGCAAGGCCGCTTGGGCATCAAGTCTTGTTGCGGCTGTGTTTCGTGCTAGAATGCAACATAGCTGATTGGAAGCAGTAAGCAATCGTCCATCCTCTTGTGATCAAAGCTATTTGGCACAGGTGGCTGCGTTGAATGCCATCGGCCATCGGTCGTTGAGTGTTAAATTGCTGCGCGTTTAGGCCGTGACAAGCAGAACTTCTGCTTGAGCACGCTTTGCTCAGCCCGAAAGGTTTCCATGGGAAAAGAGCACCTGTCTTGTTGGTTGATTCTAATGGGAACCTTTCCCAAAGGGGCCCGAGACTCGGCAACTGGGGTCTTGCATCTGAATCAAGTGCATTCGGGTCAGACCGCTTTTATGATGCCAGAACCCCGTCTCATACTTCTGTGCGTTCTGGAAGAAACCTGCAACATAGCCACCTCCCGGACTCCTGGCCCATGCCGGGAGTAAGGCACATTCAGCCTTAAAGCCTGGGCCATCTAGCTCCCATCGCAAACAGGTTCATGTCAATGATACTGTGATGCTAACGTCTGAGGAACTTGACGCAACACTCAGACTCACATGCCGGATCTTTGCTTTGGCCTTTGGCTGCAAGGTGGACTGCTGCTCCCCTCGATCAAAGAGCCCGATCAAAGAGCCGTCCGCGACGGAGCCAAATTGCTGAGGTCACAAACAATGACAAGTTCCGAACCGCGAGATCTACATCACCAGACCAAAGTAGTTATTGGGCTCTTGAAAACATCAAAACGGGTAAGTTTGGTCACCCAATTAAAGTAGAGTTTGGACGCAAAATCGGTGATCGCCAGGGTTCGAAGCTTCTGGCGGATGAGGTCGCACCGCCTCGGCTAGTGGGTTTCCACTGCTCTCAACACATCAGGATCCAAGGGACAGTGTATATATAATTCCATATTTGCAATAAACAACATATACAAGCATGAAGAAAGTGGCTATACAGTGGCAGTATTCGTGCAACAGCAGGTCCCTCAATTTTCGGGCACTCCCCCAAATCTACACCCGACCCTACAGTCTAAGGTGATTTCCTACCCAACTACCGGGAGCCAGGACAAAATTGAATCACCCATGTGATGGCTCTGTAGCGGCTGTACATCCGATCAAATCTTGAGGGGCAGTGGTTTGGGGGCGGAAACCGTTGTTGGATACAGGGCTTCCCATGTTTCCCCTTTGGTCCCAAGTCCTTTCACTTTGCATTTCTTTGGCCCTGCTCATGTTACTGGGTTCTCAATGTGGGCGCTTCTTCTTCTTGGAGTTGATAATTGGGGGGTCCGATTCCAAAAACCAACGAGACACGCACACACATGTGTTTACCTGCCCTAAACGAAACACACACGTTTTTTTCAAGCGATTGGCGCCCACCTCGGCCCACCTTCGGTTGGTAAACCGCGAAACGGAGGCCCAAAACGGCAAGGCCAAGGCGCGCATCGCCTGGCGGGTTGTTGGGAGACTGCTGCTTCAGCGCCTCCGCGGCAAGCGTCGGGGAACCGCAACTATTTGGTTAAGGCCCCAGGAAACAAAAATCCAGTAGTGATGAATTCATTTTACACCCAACAAGGGAGAACAAACAAAATATTCTGAAGCAAAAGGAGGTCATCCTTCTGTTCAGAAACCGATCGCCGTTTTGTCCTGGGTTTCTGGAGGTTTTCGAGAAAGAAGGGTCCCTGGAAAGACTGTGGCTCAAAAGAGGTTTCCCCAAAATGGGGCAGGCCCTGGTAAATGCGTTGCCATGGGCGATTTAACCTGCGCTTTTTTTTGTGTTGCTTGATTTTGGCTCTTGGTGGTCATCATTTACGCGGGGATTGATTGATGTCCACCAACCACTTTTGATCGGGTTCCCCAGTAGAAGCCATGGCTATTAATATGGGCGTGTGTTTCTTGGGGCAGCCAAAAGGGTGCTTGAGATCCTGCACATGCTAAGAGCAAGGGTAGGCCTTGAAATGTGGGTGTGTCTTCTATTAATCAAGGAAACCGCAAGGAAACCACCTCTTTGATCGGTTCCCATTCTTTGACAAAGAACCATAGGTCGAGCTAAACACCATTTAGCAAAATTACCCAAACAATGGGCAGCTAGCACACATGTGGAGATTTCCCGTAATTTGAGATCCATGCGCCAACTCATTGCTAGTCACTTTAGCAATATTGGCTGAGGGTCAAATCGTTGGATTGCAGCGCAACTCCAGGACGATTAGACCGCTTAAGAATTCAGGGCCCACGCAAATCTAATGGGACTTTGGCTTGCCTTGAAACCAAGTTATGATAGGATAAAGATCTTAGTACTCATCTAGCCGCTCATATTACATTGTTCGGGAAAACGGGGCTTGTGATGCGTGCCCTACAACACCTTCCTTCAGAGCACCATGTTTTGTTGGGAGGCTTCAACTCTTCCGACCATTTGACCTGTTGCCTGGACCAAAGGGCCCCTGTTACGCTCCTGACTAACATAGAATCCGAGACACCATCGGTTGATGTCGAATTCTTAGGGCAAGCAATTGCCCTGAATAGTCTTCCTGGATCTTCCAAATCATGGAAATGTCACGTAAAATCCGGAGACTACCAGGAAATCCAAACAGAGAAATAACCCGGAGACGGAGGACCCAGGTTGGGCATTGCATCCTTCCAGCCATTGAAGAAGTGCGGACTTCCGATCCGCCAATCCCAGCCCCTCACTGACTCATGGCTCACACCCTGCATCTTTTTGTGAGCCTCTCACTTTCTGAGTGGACCAGAACAAGTCCCTATACCTTTGGTTTACCGGCTGAATTGGTCCAAACCCAGAAAGCATGAAGTCCAGGAACCCAATCACTGAGATGTCTTCGCACCAGGAAAAACCCGCCCCAGCCGAAACGAGGAAACCTCGCCAATGGGCACCTGCCTTCAAGGCCGCCGCGTAACAGTCAAAAGCCTTGCCAGGAAGTGAGTTGCAGTTCGGGGGGGGGGGTGGGACCCCTACGGATTTAATAAAAAATCGCTCGTTCAATTAGCGGGGCCCAACTCAAGTTCTGGTTTCTCGAGTTTTCCGGAAAACAAAGGAAGACCACAGTTGGGTGTGATGCAAGGACAGTTTGCCCCTATTTAGGGCTTAATAACCCCTCATCTACACCTCCCAAACCAAATGTATCCCTTATGTGCTCCGTTCACGCTTCACCCTTCAGGTGCATGGTCCTGTCCGTATCGGTTTTCCTGATTGGCGGTTTGGAGCCAGGTGGTTTGGAGGTTAGGGGTGGTTTCACATGTACCCTCAACAAGATCCAGGACTTCAAATACCAATGCCACCAATATAAACATAAACCACCAAGTAGGGGAACGTAACCTTTACACTTGGGAAAAACAAGCCCCGGACCCTCTCACCAACAAGACACTCATCCAAACATGGCAACCGCAAGCTGATGTTCAAATCGCCAACAACCGGAATAAAGCGAGCCCTGTACCTCTCACATGCACAAATAAAATAAAGGGTCCGTTTGCCTTCGCCGAAAAGCGAACATATTGTACGTTTGAGCTTTTGATTGGTCGGCCTGCGGAGGCAAAGCATGGTCGATTCCATTCAAACACCACACTGAACAAAACGCTTTAACATGGATTGTTCAATTTATCCCCCGGCCCTTGGCAGACACCAAGGTGTCTCCCGGATACTTCATCTATTTCCAAAGGGAAACCACGAGAATTGAACAACAAAGTGGCCTTTGCGGACCCTTGTCCGGGCCAGCCAGACTCTTGGGTCCCAAATCATCCCCCCTGCATCGTGCCAACCGTCAAAAAATGGTCCCCTGAGAGTAGGTTTTGGCGGTGGGCGGACATAGTGCAAAGCGGAGCCACCGCCATTGTGGGGAAAACATTGCAAATACCAGGTTTTCCCCGATTTTTCCACGGGTTTCTGTGGGGCGGGGGTGCCAGGGATGCAGTCTTCGTCCGATTGGCTTCGGGCGTGCGCCCCGCCGCACGCAAACACGCAAACACACAAGCACGCAAATGCGAACGTGGGTGGGTGGGTGGGTGGGTGGGTGGGGTGGGGTGGGGTTGGGTTGGGTTGGGTTGGGTTGGGTTGGGTTGGGTTGGGTTGGGTTGGGTTGGGTTGGGTTGGGTTGGGTTGGGTTGGGTTGGGTTGGGTTGGGTTGGGTTGGGTTGGGTTGGGTTGGGTTGGGGTTGGGGTGGGTGGGTGGGTGGGTGGGTGGGTGGGTGGGGTGGGTGGGTGGGTTGGGTGGGTGGGTGGGTGGGTGGGGAGGGTGGGGAGGGTGGGAAGGGTGGGACGGGGTGGGAAGGGTGGGAAGGGGTGGGAAGGGTGGGAAGGGTGGGAAGGGTGGGAAGGGTGGGAAGGGTGGGAAGGGTGGGAAGGGTTGGAGGGGTGCAAAGGGTGGGAAGTGTAAGGCTGGGTGCTTGCTGAGTGGGAGAGGTTGGGTGAGCTACCCCTGCAGCCAACCAGCGCAGCTGGGCCCCTTTGGGCTCCACAAAACCAACAGGACTCACACATCGGATGGTGTCGCTCCGTCGCGCTTTAAGCGCCTGGGTGAGAGCTCCCTTCTGCACCAGCTGGTCACCTCTCTGCTCCAATTTCTCTTGGCTCTGGTGCCCGAAGACCGCCTCCTCCAAATCCAGGATGCCCTGCAGATTTTCCTCAGTTTAGATCGCTGGTTAAGCAAAACGGGGGCCCGAATGACTGGCTGGCCCTACATGGGCGTGGGGTCAAAAATAGGCAGCCGAAATGGAACCTGGCCTGCGGCCCCTGGTGGTTTGTTATTTTTTTGACCCATGCCCAAATAAAATTGGCATAGTGAGGCCTTTGAACAGGATCCAGAACAACTGATACATCAACAGCCAAACACTAATCCATACAGATAAACACCCTGAGCCGCTGGTACAGGTGGATTCTGATGTGTCCGTGGGGTTCCAACCTCTGCCTAAAAATTCACAACCTGACTAAGACCCCCAGCACAAAAACAACTCTTGGGTGGTTGAAGGGGGTAAATGAAGAATAACCGTTCAAGGCAAACCAGCTTGAAAAGGCAGGCTAAGTCTTGCACTCAAATACGGTCGAAATACAATTCCAGCGACCCCGAACTAAACAAACACCTGGGCGCACTATGATAGTTCACCAGTCGAAGATAAGAATTGGACCCTATCCACAGAACCTTCATGATGGGTACGGTCGCTAACCGTCTCTGCAAGGTCACGTAAGGTTTGTGCGGCAGCCAACAAACTTGACAAGCGTCCGCATTCCTGACACGCGTTGCACGTTCCTGGTCTTTTGTCTGGCAAAGAAAATGCCTTTAGGATGGCCCAGCTCCAGCTTCAGACCTTCAATTCCTTCTTGCCCAGGTGCAACGGCCAGGGCAGGGCGGTGATTCTTCTCGTAGAAGCAAGACAGAACGTAGCGAACCTCTCGGTCGTCGAGATCAGTTTTGCGGGTATTCCCCAACCACGCATGGATGACAGCCAGCATGCCTTTCCCAAACCCATCTCTCTGCCTACTGACTGCCTGCGCCCTAGAAAGAGACCCGTTTTCCTGCAGTGAGTCATGCAGGCAACAAGGACGCCATGCACAGGAACCCAACCAGCACTGGCCAAACGCGGCAGTCTGCTATCAAGTAAAGTGAAGATGATAACAAGTCACTGGCGCACAACTTACACATCTGGGATCCCCCAAATCCATGCCCCAAATCAGCTGGTAAATGCGATGCTCGACATGGCCAACAGTGACCATATTTTGAGCGACCCTGAGCAAGAGCAACATGGCGCTTCGAACTCCCACAGCATCAAGCATGACCTTGCCTTTTTTCATTTTTTTCCCCAAGCAACCCCAGGAAGAACTGTCAATTCCTCACATACGAGAACAATGCAAGTTGTGATCAAGAAAAGCACCATAATCAACATGCAATTGCACGTGGTTTCACTCGCCTTATATTTCGGGAAGCAATCTCAAACTGAAAGGCAAACAGACTTTGAGCCATGAACCTCGCAGCAAACTCCCCCTGAGGCAACTGACACACAAACAAACAAACAAACAAACAACCACACAAACACCCTCTACACAACCGGGTTTGTTAAGTGTTTTTGGGAGTCTCCCCCAAAACGAGGACATGATAGCCAGCGCGAACTTTTCTCCAGACCCGCCAGATCTGTCACAGCCCAGCGCTGCACGTCTGCCAGCAGCTCCAACACTTCAAACCGCCGCGCTGCCTGTCCCAAAAGGTTGGGGATGCTCAAAACTTCAAAACGGGTCACAGGTTCCAATTGAAACCAAAGGAGTATATAAAGCAGAGCCATAACAAATCAACCCAAAAGAAACAACAAACCACAATTTTGGGGGACAGAAGACACACCCAAATGGGAATCGGTCCCCTTGGGTGGTTTTCTGGGGCCAAGGGAAACCAACCACCAGAAGGGTCCATTTTGAGAAACACCGACCGACTGTTGCTCCGAAATCTCTGTGGTCTGCAACATGGCTGGCGGTAAAACCACAAACCACGTGCAAAGGCTGCAGTAACTTATCGGATTGTTCACTTTTGGCTGGCTCCTGCGGACTGATCCTCTAAAAACAGCGGGGAACAAGTTGTTGGCTTCGGGAACATTGATGGAACACCAAATGACACCAACCACATCAAAGGGGAAGCTAAGTCTGACAATGGCTTTTTGGGTGGAAGCTGAACCTGATTCAGGGATAGGTTGTGATTCTCCTAGTCAGCCACAGAATGCTAAGCCACCCCCCCCCCCCAAAGCTCCCCCCGCCCCAAATTCTGAGTTCCAGAATAAGGCCTGAATCGGCCTGCAAGGCCTTAATAGTGCATGATTATTGCGTGATTAGGGCTTTATTGAGGGTTCCAAACAAACCCTTATTAAGCCGTCACTAGCGCCTTAGTAGAGCATTAAACAGGATTTTGGATTAGAAAATAACATCAGGGTTCTGCAGCCAAACATGCTACCCATTGCATTTGCGGGAACGAATTTCTTAACAAGGTCTTGACAAGGGACTTGGGCATGGCAAACTCTTTCACGGCGTGGCCAAGGCTGCAATCCTTGTTCTGGCCGCTAGTAAGGCACCGTTTTCCCAAAACATGTCTGGGCGCTGTGTTGAGCATGAGGTTCTTAACAATGCGCTGCTAAGAGTTTTGTTTCTCAAACCGGGCTGCTGCCTGACGAGATGTGTGACACAAAATACAGTCTATACTCAACTTAGCATTGCCCATAATTAATCTTCAACTCCCACACCAAGACTCAATATCCAGAATACTTTTGATACTGAATTTGGTGCAGTCAATACTTAAGTCTAGATTCCCAAGACTAATTTTGAAAAAGCTAGAATTCAAACGGCCAAAAGGAGCCTGGGCAGTCGCTGGCAGTGTTGCGAACTTGGGCCTGCGACCAATAAAGAATCCAAGGCTAAGGATTCATGGCTTCCGACAGCTGTTTCGGGGCAGGACCCAGATTAAACAAATCTTGCTTTGCTGTCAAAGCATAACAGAGCAAGCTTAATAAGCTCACCCGATTAAGCTAATTTGGATCTCACAATTTCGGGGGGGGGAGCTTTCAGGGGGGGTTTAGCATTCTAAGATTAAGGGGCCCCCAATACATCTGGTGATTCAGGTTTTTGCCCAGAGGCAAACCCATATGCAAACTATGGCGGTTGTCTGAAACTCCTTGCCCCGCAAACTGCACGAGAAAAAACAATTTTAGCGAGCCCCATCGCGGCACTTCCGCGGGGCTGTTTTCACAACGTCCATCAGACAAGTAGTGCACAAAGTACACTTCCGCAGCCCCAGCTCGAAAGTCGTAACTTTTCAATACGAGAGTAGTACGCGAAGGACGCTTCCGCAGCCCCGGCTCGAAAGGCGAAACTTTTCAATACGAAAGTAACACTCTGATTCGTAATTTATCCGCAGTCCCGTTTTGAAAGTCACAACAAGTCACAACTTGTTCAATATGAAAGTAGTAAGCAAAGTAAACACCCTAATTAACACCCACAGCTGCGCTCTGTGTTGGTGGATGAGGACACATATTGTTTCTCAATCCCCCCATCAAAAGTGAAGAGCCGCCGATTGAAGACTACTAATCTACAAAATATTAGAAATTATACCCTCGGCTTTTTCAACTATGTTAAGATCACCCCAGTCATGGAAGCGTAGGCAGTGAGTGAGACACTCTCCACCAACCACTTCAAATCAAGCAAAGTGTCTTTGAGCCGGCGCAGAGCAGTTCTGCGCTTGCCCTGTTCGCAGTTGAGACTTGCTAAGTCTCACATTTCGTCAGACAGCAGCTTGGTTTATCAGTGCATTGCCTTGGAGTTCATGCTCAACGCAACGTTCAGACATGTTTTTGAAACTAAAACCTTTTCTTACAATTTCCAGTGATGCCCCTGAAGCCTTATTGGTGCCAAAAACAGGCATTGCAGCCTCGGCCACCCCGTAGAAAGAGTTTGCCACACCCAAGACCCTTTTCAAGGCCTTGTGAAGGAACTCGTTCCCGCGAATGCAATGGGTAGCATGTTTGACTGCAGACCCCCGAATAAGGTCATGATATTTTGTTAATCCAAATCCTGTTTAATGCTCTACCAAGGAGCTAATAACGGCTTAACAAAGGTGCTTTTTGGGACCCCTAATAAGGCCCTAATCATGCAGTAATACTGTACTATTAAGGCCTTGCCGCCAATTCAGGCCTTTTGCAGGAACTCACCATTTGGGGAGGGGGGAACCTTGGGGGGGGCATAGCATCCTGTAGTTCATATCTCAATACAAGGAGCTTTCGGACGACTCTCACATTCAGAAAGAGCAATTGCAGAAATGGTTCACCTTTCAAATTTCCTAAGGAAAAGCTACAGAGCGGTTGGGCCCGAAGCCCGCCCAAATCTGGTGATGCTACAGGCAGGGTGCGCCAGGCAATGGGCGCTTTGATGCGCTTTGCTGTTCGGGCAAAGCAAAGGGTTCCACACCTTAAGGGAGCACATCCACCTGGACTCTCAAATGACCCTGAAAGATTGGATGCCCACGGTGAATTCCGAGCCTTTTTCTTGGGTGGCCAGGTGCCATTCTTAGAAGGAACCAGTTGTGTTTAGAAGGGGCGATCCTGTCGCCAGTTTTTCTTAGTTCCACTTCGAAGCTGCCTAAACCAAGCCAAATAATTCCCTCATTCAATCCCGACAGCGACCCCCCAACCAGCAAGAACTACTACGAGTACGTCACTAATACTCCCCTGTCCTCTAAAGGGACAGGAGGGTAGATTTCTTTCCGAATGTTTCCCCAAGACTGAAGGTCAAGCGGTCAGAAGGTCAGCCTCAGGTCCAAGCCTGACAAAAGGCGTCCACTTTCGCGCTGGCGAAAATCACGTCGGCCTGTGGGCAGCGAGATGACAATCACTTGTAGTGTGGGCTACACGGAAACTACCACTAAACGCTAAAAGGCAAAAAAGCTAAGGGGACGGCTGGGAGCCACTAAGACATAGTTGACATAAATGGAAGGCAAATAGGCAAACAACCATTGATGGGGTTCCTGAATGATTTGATCACGTGTATAATATATACGTAGCATCTTTATATACATTCATGTGTATCTATATGATATGTACAAATGATACGGACGTGTATGTCATAGGCATGATGTATGAGCAACGCATGCCTGACACGACTTCCCCGCTCCGACCTGCGCAGTAAGGCGCTCGGACAGGTGCAAAGCCCAGTGCCAGCTTCCGCCGGGCTGGTTGGCTGCGCTCAGCGCCGCGCAGGAGATGATGAGATTGGGCTCCTGAGATACGGTTGGAACGCGAAATCCATTTTTCTAGGGGTGCCATCCATTTCCGTTCTTTCCGGGAGCCTTCTTTCTAGAAAACCTCCGGAAGATGATCAAACCACCAGGTAAACCAGGGCCATCTATTGTTCTACCAAAACAACCAAAAAGAACACCTATGTTCGCACAACTTTGCATGCCGAAACCATGGTCAGTTGGAATTTATCAGGGGAACCATCATTCCAGGGTTTCTGAATGGTGCGAAACGGATGTCGCAACCATCCACAGCTTGGGGTCCCAAAGGCGGGGAACCTGCATGGGTGGATGTGTTTGTTTTTGGAGCCCAGCGAAATGGGTGCTCCGTTGGTTTTTTCTTAACCACAAGACTAAAATGGTCGCACCCAAACCAAAGAAGACAAACAAACCCATGTGGATGGACAGAAGTCTATCGTCCCATTTGGAAAGAAGATCAGTTAAGCGGTCTATGGGGCTTGTGTCTTTCCGAGTGTCTAGTGCAACGTTGTGGCAAATAAGCCTTGCTGCGATACCAAGTAGCCAAGCGTATGACTACCTCACCAAAGATCCTAGTTGAGCCTGAACTAGTGGGTCTGGAGAAATTGGACCAAGTACTTATCCCCCTTTACTCAGATGACCAGTGGATTTC